TAACAGGTATTATGATGGAAGGCTTTCTGATCAGCAAATGGCATTACTGCAGTATCAACGAGAAAACATTCATTTTCTTTGTGAGGAGGTAAAATAACTTATATGGCTTATAATGCTGCAATTAAATGTTGCCTACCAGAATCTGTACATTCTTCGAATACAAGTCCATAATAAGCGTTTTGAAGATCAAAAGTTTTGTGTAGATTTTGAGGCTGCAAGAGTGTTTGAGCAATTATGAAAGAGCTAATGATGGCAGTACTCCTCAGGTAATGTTTAATTTGTCTCAACACTTAAGCATCTCAAAGGTGTTGTCGTCATCTTGTTTTATGGGTAATGGATATATTGCCATATTCAACTTATTCTGCTCATTTTGTATGGCCGATTAGTCTTCTTCGTGTTTTATTGTCCACGTCCAGGCTGTATAAAGTCTTCATGTTTCTTTTAGTGCTACTAATTGAATAATCATCGCACATTCAAGGTGCTAGTCTAGAAAACTCTGGACTGAATGAGTTGGATTTACCTACCCTCTGGTCACTGTATTGCCGGCTTATTTGTAGCAAGTCTTCTTGATCGGGTTGGATTTTCTAAATGAAGCTTTTTTCAGTCAATTGAATGGGTGCTTTCTGGTAGGCTTTTTTTTTTTTTTTTGGCCCTTTCTGATATGAGCGCATAGTAGTCAACCTATTGACTGTGATTGTAACTTTTACCTCTCTCAACTCTAGTGTCAATCCAGATAGTTTGCTTGTCTGATGATTGTGACTCTGGGTTATCCTGGTATAGACAACTGAGAATCCAAGAAACCTGACAAGTTTTGAAATGAATGCTAATATAGCAACAGCTTTTAATGTTGTGACAGTTCAACTGCAAAGTGTTGGAAAAAAAAATAGCTTTTTTTATTGTTCAGTCCTTGGACCTTTCCTTGGTGGCAATTTCATGAATTGGGTTGACTGACTATGGACATCTCAATTTGCTATCACAATTATTTGGTTTGGACATCTTATAAGTATGAGTATTAATGTAACAATTGGGAAATTAGGTAACCTTGCTGAAGCTTGAGATCAAGAGATGCAAAAAACTTCACTTAAGTACTGTCAACTTCTGGTTATTGAAAAGAATACTGTCAACTCTTGTAATTGAAAAGCAAGCAGTTTGCTTTTCTGATGATTGTGAGATTTGTGACTTTGGGTTATCCTGATATAGACAACTGAGAATCCAAGAAACCTGACAAGTGCCAATCCAGATAGTTTGCTTGTCTGATGATTGTGACTTTGGGTTATCCTGATATAGACAACTGAGAATTCAAGAAACCTGACAAGTTTTGAAATGAATGCTTATAAAGCAACAGCTTTTAATGTTGTCACAGTTCAACTGCAAATTGTTAGAAAAAAAATAGGTTTTTTGATTGTTCAGTCCTTAGACCTTTCTTTGGTGGTAATTTCATGAATTGGGTTGACTGACTATGGACATCTCAATTTGCTATCATAAATATTTGGTTTGACACCTTAGAAGTACGAGTATAAATGTAACAATTGGGAAATTAGGTAACCTTGCTGAAGCTTGAGATCAGGAGATGCAAAAAATTTCACCTTAGTACTGTCAACTTCTTCTCGTTATTGAAAAGAATACTGTCAACTCTTGTAACTGAAAAGCAGGCAGGGCAATTTGTGGGTATCAAACTAGAATAACTTTGTCTGCCCAATGAGTTCAATTAACATGGAGATTTGAATATGTTTAAGTCACTGGAATCGGAAATATGTATAAAACTTTGTACGATTGAAGTCGCAATGTAGTTGACCTTATGGCCCAGTCTAAAAGGTGTGCTGTGCGTATTGTTCTGGTTCTGTAGCTTTAAACATCTTTTCTTCTACATATAATTTATTAATAAGTTTACAGATTTGAGAATAATGTCTAATCCATATGCTTACTCTTATTGCAGGCTGACCTTGCCCATCTTTTGGCCGCTCGTGATCAAGAACTTCGAACACTTTCTGCAGAGGTAAGGACCATTTTGACCTTTTTATTAAAATACTTATGGCACATCCTTTTTCCTGTAGGGAAAAAAAAAAAAAAAAAAAAAAAAAAAAAAAAAAAAACCTTCATCAAGCTTGCATCACACTAATTATTCATCTATTAGTTGTATTGGTTGTTTCTTGGTAGATCTTTACATTCCATGCAGATATAGTTCTTGCTACTTCAATGAATGAGCTGCCTCAAGGCTTAGGAGTTGCATTTCTGTGAGTTACAATGTGGTTTCCCTGCTACAGATTGTCATTGTTCAGAGCATAATTGTCTAAAATTTTCTCAAATCAACCAGTTTAATAAAAAATGTTGCCATACTTTTAGGGATAGAGGAAGTATATTTAACGTGTTGAAAGCTTGTTGCTAGAGGGTGTTTAAAGTTATGTTCCCGCTTAATTTTCTATTTACAACCCTTTTTTCTCATAAATGTTTCGATATGGGCTCTGGAATTCATCTTGATATGGTCCTACCCCATCAACAGCGTAATATGTACTTGGCTGAATGCTGATTGTTGTGTGCTAATTAGAAATATTCTCTTACATAACAATTTCATGAGATATTGATTGATTTGTATGCCTGTGGGGTAGTCTCAGATGTCTTTAGTAACCCCCCCCCCCCCCCCCCCCCCCCGCATCTCTTATGTCTCTCAAAGTCAGTTTTCCATGGTGCGAATTTTTTTATGTATTTTTCCAAATATGCTGATGTACAACAATCAGATTGTAGCAAATCCTTTTGACCAGAGCTTACAAATTGTCTTAAAAATGTAGATGGATCAACTGCATTCTGAACTACAACTTGCTCGATCCTTAATTGCTGATAGGGATGCTGAGATTCTGCGTGTTCGCAACACAAACAATCAGGTCAGTTTGTATGTTTTACTTTCAGAAGATTATTGTCTAAAATCTCTTTTGACATTCTAATACTCCGTATCAAATATTAGAATTGATGCTCAATCTTTTGAATTTCTCATACTTTTCTGGACTTATTACAAATATCTACGCGCCAAAGTAATGTAATTCCATTTCCAAACATGTTTTCTTCGTAGATAATGTAGAGTGGTAATGAAAGTTTTTTTCAAAAATTTGTTTTTTTGTTCGGACAATCATCAATGGTCAATTACATGGGACCATTATTGAGAAATTACATATAATGTTTATTTACTTTACAATAATATTTTACTGCCTACCAAACATGTCTTTCAAACTCATACCTTGATTATTCTTATGATATTCTAACAGTATATTGAAGAGAATGAGCGTTTGAGGGCAATTCTAGGTGAATGGAGTGCACGAGCAGCAAAGGTAAGGGTAACATCCTCCTTTCTGTTGTGTTTAGCAGTATAGTCACATGAACTAATTGACACTTGTTTTTATGTAACTATGTATCAGCTTGAACGTGTATTGGAGTTTGAACGAATGTCAAATGTAGATTTGCAGAAGAGAGTTGGCACACTAAGGAACCAGTTAAGCAAACTTTCTCAACAAAGTCAGCAGCACTGAGCTCCATAGCTGATATAGAGAATTGTAAATGGTTTGTTTTTGTATTTTTGTGTAGCTGTAGATAGATGAACAATCTCAGGGTTTACTCCTAGGTTTGACTGATATTGTATAGGTTAGTCGGTGGCAAAGCCACGAATTATAAAAGTTTTTGTATTTTTTAATTCTTTTTTCTTATTCTTCTTATGTGCAATATAGAGAAGATGATAGTGGGCAGGGCGGGGCAGCTCATGTGTTGTGCCAACTTGAGCCCAACCTTGGCCAAAACATGGCTAGGTCAATTTGGCTAGTGGGTCGAACTTATGTTAGTTCTAGACCCTCCATAGTGTAGTGCTTGTAGTGTCAACTGAGTGTGTATGTTCATGTATATATTAAAAAGAATTTCATGATCATTACCGTTTTCTGAGTTCCGCGCACTAACATTTTACATGATCTTAGGTTCACAATTTTGAATTTTTTACCAGCAATATCTTTGTCTTACTTTTTCTATCCCATAATTTCCCAGTTTTCAATTTGGATGCTCAATATGATCTTCCCATTTATTTTCCAGAAAATTTCACATTCTAGAAAATTTTATCCTCGTTATGATTTTTTTTTTTTTTCTTTAATTCAAGAATGAGTTGAATACAACAAAGACATTTATTGTTTTATCTCCCTTGGCATTGAATTGTGTGCTTTCCAACAAAAAATACAAATACAAATGTACAAACTATGTATTGATATTTAGTTCTCGTGAGAATTTCACAATGGAAAATTATTTATACTATAGGAGAGTAAACATTAAAATATATTGATATTTCAACAATACTTATGAAAAGAATCAAAACTTGTAAAAGATTCAATTCCCACTATTGACAATTTGGGGATGAAATTCTTTGAGGGTGGGATACCTTTATCATCTCCCCACTCTTGATAATTTGGGGATGAAATTCGTTGACCCATGAGGGATTCCGGCTCAGTAGCCCGTTTTATCTTACATTAAAAGAAAATGTATAATATTTAAGATTACATACAATATACGCATATATTACCCCACAAGAGAATCTCAAACTTTTTAATTTCAACCACAATTAGTGCTTGGATTTATTTATTTTTATTTTTATTTTTATTTTTTAACAAGAGCAAACTAAAATTTAATACTTCCTCTGGTTTTTTAGTTGCTACACTTTTATTTGCACGGTCTCCTAGACAAATTTTTAAGAGGTGAGAGATAGAGAGAAAGGGACCCATGTGGATAGGAGAGATAGAGATAGAGATAGAGAAATGTAAAAAATGAAAAGTGTTGCAACTAATTAACAATTTCCAAAATATGAAAGTGTTGCAATTAAAAAGATTCGGAGGAAGTACTACAAAACATATACTCTTCCGACAATCATTAGCATTGTTATTGTATGTAGGGGTATTGCTAATCATTAGCAATGTATAACATCAATTGCTAATGATTGTCGGAAGAGTGCTTGGAATTAGAGAGAACAGAGAGTGCCATTACAAAACATCAATTGTAATTAGAGATATTATACATTTTATACTCACAGTTTACAAGGTTATAATTTACATGTTATGCTTTCATCTGAATAAGACTTCTAGAGGTTATAATGACCCAGATCATAGAAATTAGAAAAGGATGAAATATGGTTCTCATTTGAGACTTTGAGTATGCTTTCTAGAAATCATGATCCAAAACAAAAATAGTAAAATACGCTTTTGAAGTCCTCTTAATATCCCAAGAGCAATCAGATACAACATACAAACTACAAAATTCAGTGGCAAAACCTCATTATAATGGTGCTACATTGGTTGTTTCATTCAAAAAGAGACAACCAAACACATTGTTGAAGAAGTCACGACCCTTAAATTCTGCTCCCTCACCAAACACGGGCTCCATGTCGTATGTGCACGCTCTTGAGCAGTCAGGGCAATAGGTCACCTGCAAAAAATGGGAATTAACTGTAAGAGTTCACCAAATTCAACTATGAAAATATTTTTACGAATGTCTCATAATTTCCACTACAACAGCTATTTCTTCTACAGATGAAAAACTGATGTATTGGTATTAGTGACATAAATAACCATGCAGAACGAATAACAAGATCCTATTGATTCAACATTGTGCACTGGGACATTCTTTAAAAAATTTCCTCAAGCATGCTGAATTGATAAATGAGAGTAGAGATATTTGCTAATTCATAAACATTGATTAGAAGAAAACAAGCAAATTGTCAATGTCCACTGTTCTACATACCTCCAATAGCTTAGGACAGAAAGAAGAATCAAGCATGACATCAACACCATAAATTGCCCTGGATTTTGGACTGTGCATCTCTGGATGCACGGCAACTGCTGCCTCAAAGACAGACCGGATCATATTTCTAATTCTTTGATGGATATCTGACCATTTTACTGCGATAAATAAAATATTTTTAGATTAACGTTGGCTCAATGAGAAAATACTATAGCTTAGATCTCACTTAGAAAGACAAAGCCAGTATTGGATACGGCTAGGACCACAGACCTTGGTGCTCCTGCTCAAACTCTTTCACAAACTCTCTTGTTTGTAAATGATTTAATACCCCGCGATAGTTCTGCAACAATGATACAATAATGCAATAAACACAAATTAGAAGAACTTTTTTTTTTTAATTTACTTTGAACTTTCTCAAGTCTTGTACTTCACTCTTTCAAGCCAAAGAAAATTAACAGAAAAGGGTTGTCATCAGAACATACCATAACTGTGAAATGGGTCTCATACTCGTATAAGCTTCGTTTATCCAAAGAATATGCATTATTTGATAGCCTTACCTGGGAAAAGCCAAAGCAAGAATTAGATGCTGATAAGCAAATTGTAAACACCTATTATCATGTTTCATGTATTACAGTTGCTTGAGAATATTCATCCAAAGATTTCCAAGGAGCATACCCAAAAGACATCAGCAAGGAATATATCCAGAGGATTAATACTGCGAACAAGAACAATGTAGCGAAGATCGAACTTCTTCCCTCTGAACAAAGATGGATGTTCAATATACTTCTGGCATATTTTTGGACCAGTCTCCATCAGACGAATTATAGCAGATAAATTACTCGTGATTGTTGTATCTATAGTTCGAGCCATATTCCAAGGTTTCAGTATCCATAAATTATCAAGACCTTTTCTTTCACGTACATAGTAATCTCCAATTAGCTCAGTCAAATGACTTACTAAATCATATGTAGGCTGCAACCACTCAGGAGCTCCATGTGCCTGTCAGATAAGATGAAAGTTAATGCTGAAGCATATACTATAGATAACTTTCAGAGATTTGATAGCCACAAGCAGAGATTGAATATTGAATTAGATGTAAAAATTTGTAAATCAAATACTGGATTAGAAAAGCTAGTGCAACAGTCTCTTAACAAAAATAGAGCATTTTTATTTGATGAGTTGTTCCAATTAAAATTTACACTTCCATATAAGTGAAGTTTCCCTCTTTCCCCATCATTCCATAATTCCATCTCAAGCATTTTATTCACATAAATCAAATACTGGATTAGAAAAGCTAGTGCAACAGTCTCTTAACAAAAATAGAGCATTTTTATTTGATGAGTTGTTCCAATTAAAATTTACACTTCCATATAAGTGAAGTTTCCCTCTTTCCCCATCATTCCATAATTCCATCTCAAGCATTTTATTCACATAAAATATCTGTGCCAAACTCAAATGTAAATTTTTTTGAAGGACAGAGAGATTACTACAGAACAAAAATTAGTAGGTAATGTTGCTTTTTTGGGTGCTAAGTAAAGATTAAACAAGATGAAAAAAAAAAAATCTGACCTCTTGCATAGTTTCAGCCAAATGATGCTTCATAACTAGACAGGCTTCATGAGGAAATTGGTTTATGTACTGATCGTCTCTTATTCCAACAGCCTTTCTAGTCTCCTCATCCACCTGCATGCTGGTCCACAGAATATCGGCTTCCTTTGGTTCACTAGCTGCATGTCACACAAAAATCTTAACTTCAAAAACAGATGCAAAAAGATATTTTATAGCAAGCACTTGCACACTTGTACGGTGTGGCAACTGCAACCTGGATGCATGAATAAACAAAATCACTTATATTTTTTAGTTGTTCAAGGGCCTCGTTGTACCATATATGGTTAAAACACACTCATGTAGCAACAATTGTAGGTGATTTTCTAGCAGCTATAAGTATGGTCTATTACAATTTAAACAAATTATGATACATTAGTCAATTTAACACTTGAATCTAATAGCCAGTCAAAGTATACACAGGGAACAAATTGTAGGAGCTAAGATGCAAGCAAAAGAGCACAGCGCCAGGCCGCCAGCAGCTACTACCGAACACCAAGCTGAGAGCTGACTGACCTCAAAATTTTGCCAAAAAAATTTTAAATGATCTAAAGACATCAACCATGAGGATTAAAATGAACATCACTGGCATCAAATTTATAATACCAAAATCCAATTTGACACACATCTCAAAACCATTTGTAATCAGGAATATTAATGTGGGACAGATATTTTCCAAGAAAATTTTGAAAAAGAGATACGAGAATAAACTATATGGAAAAGGCAACACTTACTGATAGAAAATTCAGGACGAGTCAAAAACTCCTGTACATGGGGTATATCAGTATATACTCGTAAAGGATTTTTATTACAAAGCAGACTTGAAGGTTTCAGTGATCCCATAGAAGGCGGTGTAAAGTGTTTCGATTGCAACTTTTGATAATGCTTCTCATATCCCTGGCCAAAACATGAATATATTAACAAATTTGCAATTTCTTACAGCACATAATTCACCAAACCCATACTTGAACATACTTTGATGAAATAATTCTTTGGTGTGTGGAACCAAGCAGTCAGTCTTGCAGACCGTTGTTTATCTTCTCCTATACCTAACAGAAAGTCACGTGTGCACTCATCTCCTTTCTCAACATCTTGGGTTGGCCACAAAATAGAGAAGCTAAGAATTGAAAGTTGGATTAGAGGTGGTAACATGCATGGAGAACAAAGACTTTCACTAGTAAAAAACAACCAATCAAGAAAGTAAAAGTTTGTTTAAACTTTAAAGGCTTGTTAGTTTATGCTTCTTCACAGCTGGTGAAAAGGATTCAAGATGACCTTCTAAGGCAACATAATAGCAACTACAGTTGCCTTATTAACTTGCTTCCTCTTTCAAAATAGTTGCACCATTTTTTTCACGGGTCGCCAATGTATTATTTTGACAATTGTGAATTGGCATAAATTATATAAATAATAAATAAATAAAAACACACACACACGCATATTGAGATGCATTTTATGAGATAGGATAGACTACAATTAATAAGTCTTTTAAGTTTGACCTTCAAAAGAGAAATGCTTAAACTATTCTTAAACAAAGTAGTAAATACTCGTGTCTCCATATATGTAAGAGGATCATAAAGAAATATTCTTATGAAAAAAAACCTGACAGCTGATGATAAATTCCCATCACGCATGTATAGAAAAGGTGCAACTTGAAAATTTGGCACATCACTGTGTCGCAGAGCTGAACCCAGTTCATCCATCACATACCTAAAAAAAAAATTCAGAGACAATCAGTCACTTCCTACAGAATGCATGAGAAAGCTGAATATAACTAATATGATCTGATCCAATATCTTTTCTGATCTAATCTGAACTTATTTTTTCCTAATCTGAATTCATCTTTTTTAGTGACGTGGTTCGATCATAATTTTTAGAATACAAATTATAATATACATTATGAAGATTTTTATTTTAAAATTCATAGATTAGTACTGTGCTATTTTGTTAGAAAGTTTTTGATTCTGAGATATTCTGGTCTTAGTAAGCATACACAGACTAAGTGAAAGTCTTGCATAAAGGTAAGGTTTGTGCTCATGCACGAGTATAGTATAGCAAGTCCTAGTGGCAGCAAAAGGCATCTAACAAATTGCATATATATCAAACAGAATTGGTTGTTGGTGTAGCAACTACCAACATCCCATACCAGGAGGGAGGAAGTTAACAGGTAATGCATCACTAACTAATTTAACTAGGAAATAATTTTGCCAAAAGTACAAAGATTAAAAGCAACCTAGGATTTGGTATCCATATAGCATTTGTGTTTTTACCTAAACCATATTAACACAGATTTTGTAGGTCAGGCATTGACTTCTACGTTCTATGCACCAGGCACTTTGCAGGAACAGATGGCGCTCTTACTGAGTAGCTCTTTAAGGCAGTCACAGTGAAGACAATAAAATAATACTATATGAAATAAACAAATCGTGAACAGAAGGGGGTAGTGGCCTACCATACAGAGGTTTCATCAATCTTTTCCTCATCTGCAAGTCTGTAAGTCATTAAATACAACCACATAGCATTGAGTACACGATCAGCAAGGGGGTCATCAGGGTTCCACTCAGGAAGACGTGGCTGCAACACTGAGTCGACCACATGCTTATCCATATCAAAGATCTTCGTTGCTTTGGTACCATTAAGTAAAAAGATATTAGGAAGAGAATCGAGAATCTCTAGTGCACTTTCTCCAAGGGGGCCTGGTATATCAACCTGAAAAATACCTTTATGGCTTTATTACATTCAAGAATCCAGCGGAGCATCAATGTAGTCTGCAAAAAATTTTGAGAGGGTGGTTTACCTCCAGAGAATTAAGTGAAGGAAACTTCTTTAAGATTTCCAGCAACTCAGGGACAGAATTTTCTTCTATTGGATTTCCACGAATATTCAAGTGTGAAAGATGAGGAAGTTTTAAAGGTGAGAATGCCTGAACAGTGGAAAACAATAGATTAGGTACCAGAGAAATAAACCAATGCAATTGTGTATGAATACTTAAAGCATACACAATATTTGTGTATAAAAATTGTAGTATCAACTATCAACCCTATGATAGATATACATATAATAATGATGATAATTACAGAGAATAGAAAAATCTACAAATAGCTATGAAAAAAAATAAATTATATTAAAAACTACTACAACCTTATTGTTTAGATTGTGGATGCATCTATCTGAAAGGTCCAAAGAGGTAATGTTCTGCAGTTGTTCTTCACCGTCATTCCCAGGGTTATCCTTCCCATAAATTTCTCCACAGAATCCTAATGCCCACTCACCATAATTACATGTAAAGTGTGAATTGAAAATCTCTAAGTTTGGGAATGCCTGAAGAACAGCTTCCTCCATGTTGCTAGCACTGGTACACCAAATCTCATATTAAATGAAGTAATTGTTGCAACAGAAAGTTTGGTAATGAACTAGCTAAAATTAGACTCCCACCGGAGAAATTAAGTGTTGTACTTATATCTTAAAGTCTTATTCAATGTTCCAAACAAGTGACAAAACTCCAACTTTGCTCTGATATACTAATCACTTATTAACATCAACTATTATCTTTATCTATTTCTCCTTTCAGAAAGGGATAGTAACTTGATTTCTTATTTTTTTTTAGAACAGTCCTTACAGACCTATATATTCAACCAGTGGGAGTAATATATAAACTCACCAATTCTTCAGAACAGGGTTATCATTTAGCCAGAGGGCACGTAGGTTTTTCAATTTTGAAATTTCTTCCAGAACAGTTTCCACCTTTTCTATCTTGTTCCCAAGTAGACTAAGAGCAACTAGATTCTGGATCAGAAACAAAGATAGTCTATTAGAAGCTAACAAAGCATAATTTGAGGACAGTTAATCAAAAAGGTATATAAAGATATAGAGGTAGAAGTGCAAGCACAACCGGACATTTAGTAGGTAAATCCAAGGCCAAAAGATTGGCATCGTCTATATTGAGCTCCTCTAGCTCCAGCCACTGAACCCCGTCATTACTTAACTCTTTTGCTTTACAAATTTCGATTTCCAAAATTTCTTCTGCAGTCATTTTCCCATCTTTATCAGCCAAATCTTCATTGCCATCTCCACCGTCTTCATGGCAATCAGCATCAACACACATCAAAGAAGCCATTCTTTCAACCAAACCTGGCACTTCCTCAAGCTGCAACAACCAAAATGCAATATAAACAACCAAGTTCAAATGATATACTACCTCCCTTTCATATTATTTGCAACATTTACAAAAATAGTTGCGACACACTATGTACACAAATGTTTTCTTTCCTTTTAAGTCATAATTTCTCTCTATCTCTCTCTTCATCACATGCATAACTATCTTCCTCTCTCCATTCAACACTCACGAACAAATTCTGCCTAGGAGTTCGTGCAAGCTCCTTTGTTGCACATAATATGAAACAACGTTAGTAAATATGTGTTATACATCATGTACGTGCATCTGATCTTCATTAAAGATTTAGAGTTCACTAGTACAAGCAACAATGAAAAAAATTATTCTTAAACATGAAAATAGTGTGCCGTAAATAAATACAATAAAAAAATTATTTTAGGATAATTCTTTATATAAGAAGAAAAGTTTCTTGTTTCTAGCAGCTAGGAGATTCAAACATGCTCACATATTGATCCATCGGTCAAAAATAGATATGTAATTATTGATACAAATCATGTTTAAAGAATCTCGTATTATGATTTATATGGGTTGAAATCTGTAGTAAAGTCAATCGTTTACATCTTTAACAAGTTTTACAAATCATAAACACTATAAACATCTGTAGAAAGTTCAAGAGTTAGGTTTATTCTCTCCACCTTAAGAAAATGTTCAGATTAAAAAAAAAAAAAAAGTTCAATATAATTAATTTAAGCTCAGCCATTCAGATGAAGAGAGCATGGTCTTAGTTCATTACTCTTAAAAGTGTGCATAAATACAAGGACTTTGACAGTCCCATAATGGCTACAAGTGGGCTTTACATGTTGACCTTCCAATGCTTATTAGTATTTACTTGTCAATGAAAGATCAACTGCAAAACACCAATTGGTTGACAGGTTGAAAACTAGCTAGCTAAACATAATACAAGTATACAAAGTACGAACAAGCCGTTTTTGTTCTTGCTTACATGTTCAATAAACACAAGAGTTTGCCAAGCAAAACATAGGTAGAGCAAAGACTCCCCCTGACATATCATAGGATAAACTAGACTGATCGACCCAATATCATCTAAGCGCTTAATTTTGTTCACTTCTATCTAATACCAATATAATCATATAAATTACTCATGCAACTGCCAGACAATTGGAAAATTGTTATTTTGTAAAATTCCTGCCAAAAAATTAATCCTTCCAGTTAATTACAAAGCTAAATTCTTATTGACAACCCCATTTCCTCAAAGCCAAAACCCAATTTCTGACAAAAAAATTGCAACAACCCAATATCTACATTCAAATTAAATTACACTAAAAATCACCAATTCCCATTTCTCTAAAAAAAAAAAGCACTTACCCAATAATGCTAACTAGTTAACAAATACTCTACAACTACGGGATCGAATATCGTATACATCATTGCCCTTTGCACACTATTTACACCAAATTAAAAGAACTAAACAAAAAACCCACAATTGAGACAAGGAAAGATAGAAAAAGACCTGTTTAGGGGCATCAGAAAGGCGGAAAGTCCAAGCATGATCAACAAGAAAGACATTGGAGTTTTTGGGCATGAAATCAGAGGTTTGAATAAGCTTTCTTTGGCGACCATCTTCAGAAGGCTCAATCTGAAAGAACTCACCGGCGTCAAAAGTTTCAGAAGAAAGCTTGCGAAAGAGTTGAGGGTAAAGCGATTGCGGCAACCCAGTTGCGGCTAATAGCATGCTATGAACTTGTAGGAAATCATTGTAGTATTTTATTTCCACCATTTTTGGTTTAGCTTGTTTTTGTGCTGAATGCCGGCGAGTGAGAAGGTTTTGGAGTATTCTTGAGTTCAAAAAGGAGTTAAGGTTTTGCAGTATTGGGAGTGGGTTAATTGTGACACGTGTCAGAATGTGATTCGTCATTTTTTCTAATAATAGTTAATTAGGAATTATCATATGATTAATTATAAAAAAAATCTAATAATTATAAATTTCAAAAAACAAAAAAAGGAAAAAAACCCCAATCCCCCTCCCCTGCTAGACCGCCGCCCCGACTCCCTGCCGGAGTCGACCCCTCCCTCCCCTTCCCCACCGTCAATCGACACCCCAAAACACTTAAACCCCGATTCTGATTTTGTTAGGATTTCGTTAGGGGTTGGGTTTAAGGGTTTGGGGGGTGGACTGACAGTGGGGAAGGGGAGGGAGGGGTTGACTTCGGCAGGGAGACGGGGGAGGGGGGTCGTTTCCGGCAGGGGGTGAAGGGGAGTGGTGCCGTGTCGAGGTGGGGAAAGGGGAAAGGAATGGGGAAAGGGAAAGGGAAAGGGGTTGAGTGGGAGCGTCGTGGGTGGGGGGAGAGGCCGTCGGTGTCGGCGCCGGGGAATTTTGTGGTCGCCGGCCACCGGCGGCTTGGCAGGGGAGGGGGGTGAGCTGGCAGGGGTGGGTGAGGGGGGTTGGGTTGGGTTTTTTTTTATTATAATTAATAGATTTTTTTTAATAATTAATCATATAATATTTCCTAATTAATTATTATTAGAAAAATGACGAACCACATTCTGACACGTGTCACAATTAATATTAATAACCGGTTGCATGTCACTTGATTCATTTAAAGTGAATACCCTATAAAGGTTGGATTATTTTGGGTTAATTGAAAGGTTGAGTTATTTTGAGTGAACCAGACAAAGGTTGGCTTATTCTTGACAAATTTTCCTTTTTTTTTTAAGAGCGACGGGTGATGAGAATTGATTCCAACATCTTTTGAAATCGGAAGCTGGCTATCCCTCACATGATTGTGCATCTATGTTTTCAAGTTTTAAAGCTCATTATTGAATGAAATTATATGTATTGATTAAATTTGTTTTTTTAAGGTAGAGTATTTACAATAAATAGTTATACGTCGTCTAATAGGTAATTTTTTAATGTTGCATTTGTTTAACTTATGTAATAGAAATTCTTGTGAATTGTAACTTAAGTTATGTTAATGAGCTTAGCCGGCTCGAAAGCTCGCGAACAAGCTCAAAATATTTTTTATTTTTTCTTTAACATCGTAACCTTAAATATTGGTAGAATATTTTTTATAAGTCTAAGAAAAATAAATAAACTTAGTTATAATATATTATTAAAATAGACATTATATTGTTTTTATTTTCAAATCTAAGTCGAGTTTTATTGTAACTTAAACTTGATAATTGATAATTTAAGCTTGAAACTCGGCTCGAACTCGAACAATAGTGTAACGAGCCAAGCTCGGTTTTGGCTCGGTTCGTTAACACCCCACCCATCACCCTATTCATGTCTCGTCAAAACTTGCAAGTCGCTACCCTACGTGGCTCTAAGGGCACCTGGCTTTATTTTGACCCAAAAAAAACAAAAAACTAACGCTTGCTTTTAAAACAATGAAGTGAAGAACACATCCTTAGAGAGTCACATGGCTCGACTGAGTTCCCACCCCTCGGCCAATTTATCGAGTCGGTTCTTTCACACAACCAACGCAACAACAAGATATGCTTCATTTGAATTAATGGAGTTTTAGTTTCCATCGAACACTCTACTATTTCCTACTTCAAATTGATGATTTAAAGGTGAACAATTTTACATTTATTTTCTTTACAATTCGAAATGGTAGGTTTCATTAACATTTTGCTCGTGAATTCAGGGTTATTCGTTTGAAAATGGATGCAAATCCGCCTGTTGCAAATGTTGAGGAACCAGCTTCTTGGGATGAACTTTACAACATAAACTTGATTCCCTCAGAATTATTTGTCAAATTCCGCAAAGAATATGAAGGGTTTAGACTTGGTGTTAATTTAGAGGTATTTGCACTTTTTTTTTCATGGGATTTATTTATTTAATTCACCTAATTTATATGTTGAATTTATATATGGTTTCAAATTTAAAGTTTAATCCTTTTTAATTTTGTTGGTGATTTAATTGTTGGGTCTAAAGTATAAATGTATAAAGATGCTGATTGTTATGAATGAAATGGTAATTGAAATTGAAGTGGCTGGTTTGGATTGACATGGATTTTGTGGTTGTGGGTGTCATTGTATGAGGCTGAATTATGCAATGTTCTTTGGGTAATGTACTTTTAGATTGTTGATTAGTTGTTTTTTGGGAATTTTGTTCTTCAAGGCTGAATTATTTGAATTATCTTCGCCCTGCGCAACGATTTTGCTCATTGTAGATTATCAGAGTATCACTCTAGCAGTCTAGTTGTATCAACTTGTTCAAGGACCACCCCGGGTCACATATATAATCGAAATTATTTAGGCTACGGTTGGGATAAACAGAATGGAATACAATAGTGGAATCGAATGAGAGCCAGAAAGAGTAATGGCAACCATTATTATTTTATGGATTGGAATATTGGATGTTAATACATGGATTGGAATGGAATTTGAGAGCAAGAGGAACAGACATGGTATGGCCTTATGGGTGTGTTCTATTCACCTGCATTTCACTTATTTAAAATTATTTTAGCTGTAAATTAATTTATGTAACCCTTATTAAGTTTAATCTTAACTTATATTCCTAAACTTTTCTTATGTGAACTTATTTTTCCTAATTTATCTTATCCAAACTTATATTTCCCAATTAAGTGAAAATTAAGTGAATAGAATATGGCCTTTTTAATTAAGGGAGGGTAACAAGAGGATGAAATCAAATTAATCATATACCTCCATGGCCTCAACTCAAGTAAGGAAACTATCACCATACCCCTTAAACTATGCAGCCTATAACAAGCTCTTTTGTGATACCATTTCAAATCCCGAAATTTCTTCATACCAATTATGGGAATGGTCGCTCTTCAGTTCTTGAAATAATAACTTTTTATTATTAGAGGGTTGTTCTTGACTTGACATTTATACGGGGTTGTTTATGGACTGTTGATGCTGCAAGTATCATTTTGGAAATGTATACAATTTGAGGCCATATAATATACCATTGTACTATTATTAAGTAGGATTTCATCGGGTCTTAGGACTTAGGATTACTACATTTACTAATTGATACAGAACAATCAGCATTTTTGCTTAGTGTTTGTTTCCTGCATGAAATGTAGTACTAGTTTATGCTTTTCTTGGGAAGTGTATCTTTGGAACAAGGCATGGCAACTGAGTTAGTAGGTCGGAATTTACTGACTTGATGGTCAATTTTTGCAAATTAGAGTTTGATGGATGCCAGGATTATGGATAGAAATACAATCAAAATTGTTCTTTGTGGGCAGTAGAAGATCTAGAAAGCTTTCTCCTTTCTATATTATTCTCTGGTGAGGAAGGGGAATAGAGTTGTAATTCATCTGAAAGAGCCCATGGCTAATGCACTGATATTTTGATGCAGTTTTATAATTCACCAATCAATGATTTCCAGACAAAGCTTGTACTAAAGCCTTTGTCCAACGAGAGAAGATGGAAGTTCATATATGAGCCCATACATCAAGATGTGCGCGTTCTTTCTAAGAAGATTCCCATAACAAAATTCCTTAATCTGCAGGTTTAATTCTTTTTCTTCTGAGAATAATTTTGTTAAACCTGAACTGCCAGAAAAATCTTGTTTTACTTTTGCTCAGCAGATCTTTATCTTTTATAAGACCTTAAGCATCAGTAATTTGCAGGTTTAGTTTCCTTCCTCTCGACATATCTTCATCTTTGTTAGACCTTAAGCATCATTAGTCTTATTTTGTGACTCATGTGGGCATTAAAGTCTTCTACTCTTCTGCCATCATTAGACAGTTGCATGTCTTTTAATTATCTTATTATTTTATAAACTGATATGGTGTATGGAGTAGGAAATTAAGTTTCTGAATTGTGCAGGTTGGCATTGGTCATAATTTTTCATTAGGTGCTATTGGGTGGAAATGGAAGCTTACTTCATGTTTGGGAGGAGATAATATATCTCGGATTCGGAATAAGACATCACTTGGATTGTGTGAGGGTGTGGATTTCCGGTTTGGCTGGAGGGCTGATTATGTTCTTCCCGAAATTACCGGGTGAGTATAATATTCTGCATTATACCATTACTGAATGCATTATTGTGGTGTTTGTCTGCACTGTTTTTACTTTTGGTCTTGTATTAACAATTCCTTTGGTGTGTTTTCATAGTGCTCTAGGCACAGGAGAACCATTATTCAACATGAACTCAGGACGCCTGGAAGCATCACTTGACAGGGTTGAGGCTATCTTCACACACGGAAATGAACAATATCCCTGAGGGAAACATCGGGGCAGTATGAAAATCTCTCTGTCTTGTATCCATAGTCATAGTTGTACTTGTACAGCTTTGTTTTCATCCTCCACTTCTTTCATTGTTTTTCTTAAAATAAAGCCTGTTTTTTTATTTGTTGAGAAATAAGCAAATATGAATTTGACCTATATATTTTTAGCTGGTTCATGTTCTTGGCAATTTGCTCTAAGTTCAGACAACTCTGTCATCAAATAGGGCCATAGGCTTTACATTCACTATATAAACTAGTCTCATAGTAGTTGACATGCTGTCTTCACGTCAGAGAATTTCCAACAGTCGGCCAGTTTGTGCTGACTGTGCACGAATCGAATAAGCAAATAAGCAATCAGTTTTCATTCTTAATCGAATCAAGCGAAATTGTGCAAGTATAGGAAAGGCAGAACATATCGATGTTGTAAAAGAAAATGTGATGGTCAGCTTGTCTTAATCTATCTCTTTTAGTCGAGTGGCCTATTGTTAGCTGTACAGCTGAATCGTCTGAATGGCATGTTCATCTGCAGTCAATGTCCTATATTCTTGCTTCGAACTATCCTCTCTTGTATTTTCTGGGAATTATTCTCTCTATTTATACATGTTGGATGTTACTTTGTTAGATGTTACTTGCACTTCCTCGGCACAGTCTTGTAGCTTTCAGCCTTTCATCAGAATGAAGAAAACTTTCATTGTCCATGAGATTTTTTTGTTTATCTTGAAGCTCATCCTTCCTCTTTACTAGGCCTGCAATCTCAATTGGGCTTTTAATTTACTGGGTCCAAGCCTAGTTATAATATGTAGTTTGTTTGGTTATTATGGATTCAAATTCTTTCAATCTGATTCTTCCAAAAATGAAATCTAATCCGATTTGAATTTGGTAATTTGGATTGGATTGGATTGGATTTAAAAAAAAAAAAAACTCAAATTTTTAGACATGTCATGCTCATTAGGGATTATAGAAATTTCAAGTACCCGGAATTGGAATTGAAATTGGAATTAGAATTGTTAAATTTGAACCTCATACTACTCTTGATTCACAAATTAAATACTCCGTTAACAAAAATTCCTCACAAAAAGCCACGTAAACACACATCACACATTTAAATTAAAATTATCCTATAATGCTGTCTCAAACAGTTTAAAATTCCTAATGACATTTCAAACTTTAAACCAAAAAGGAGGTAATGAACGTTACACAAAGTCCATAACATTACAATGCATGGGTCCCTAAAATACATATCCGTTACATTTTCAACGGCAAATTAAATTTCCCCAAAATCTTATAAAAACAATTCAAAACTTACAACATTAATAATATAATCAACTTAAACCTCTTAATTTCTCTCCCAAAAAAAGAAAAAAAAAAATGGCAGCATCAAGTTGTAAGCTAAGAAATTCATTTTCTTTTCCAAATCTTTTACTTTCATGCTTAAACTTAATCTTATTCATACTTTCTACTGCTTCACTTGCTCCTATACTTCTCCTTAAAACACCCCCTACTTCCTTAGGCTATGCTCTACTTATATCTTCGTCTATATCTCTTTTATCCTCTTTTCTCGGGTTATACTCTCGCCTTACTCACTTGTGTTTTGTGACATACATTTCCTTCCTACTCGCCTCGCTTGCTAGCCAAGTGCTTAGCTTCATGGCCTTGTTTTTGAAGGAGAAAACAAGCCTATCGATGCTAGATTCACCAAGGGATCCTAGAGAGGCGAAGGTGTTGGTGAGGTTGGAATGTGGGATTTTGATGGTTATGTTTGTGTTGCAAGTTGTGGTTTTGGTGGTGAGTTGTGTTATTCATAGGTGTTGGATGAAGGAGTATCAAGGGTTGGAGGAGGAGGAGAGGGAGAAGATGTCGAGGAAGCGGAGTAGGAGGATAGCCGGAATCGATGAGGAATCGGTGCCGAATGGGGTGGCTGTTAAGGTTTCTGAGGACAAGGCTAAGGAGTTGGATGAGAAGGTGAAGAGTAAATTTGGTGAAAAATGATTTTGAAGGATAAGATATTAAGATGGTTTTATTAAGGTTTTTGTTGTGTAATTAGTTATTTTATTTGTGCTTTAATTTCGATTTGAATTATGTATTACTACTAGTAATCTCTAGTCAGCTTCAAAAAAAAATGTTCTATTCTCTGTTTGAGTAGATTGACAATTATACCTTCCAAGGTAACAATGCTTTATCAATTATACCTTAGTTTTGCAAGTCAACATAGTCGATTAATATGTTTTTTTTTTTAAAAAAAATAAATAATCAAATCCGCATATCATTCCTTCATTTCAAATTAGTATTAGTTGAAATGTTTTTTTTTTAATCCTATGTTTAATTATTTTGTTTATTATAAAAAATGCTAAAGTATATGTTCAAATGGGTCTAATAAGACAGATTATATTTTATCATATATCATTCAAACATTAGTTAAAATAAAGTTTATAAATAGTGTCAAAAATCAAAACATGTCAATTAATTTGAAACGTATTTGAATGTATTGAATCGGATTATGCAAATGTAATCCACCCGAATTTTTTTCTTTAGAAATGCCAACCCTGCTCAATAATTGTAGTCATTGTTTATTAAATTAGACATTCCATTTTAACTAATTACTTCTGCAACAACTATGAATAACATAAGTATTTGATTATTTCTGCAAACAAATTGAACACCTTACCTCATTTTTTTTTTCTAAAAAAAATCCGCCATAATCAGTACAATATGCCTAAAAAAGAAAAATAGGTAGACGAATGTAAAAGATTCAAAATTTCGGTTTTAACTTAGATTATTACAATTGACTTAATATATGTTAAAAAAAATAAAAAATTATATAATATGAAAGTTAGAAGCATTACACTTGTTCGAATATAAGAGCAAGTTTAGCCCCAAGTCTTAAGACTTGGGGTGACATCATCATTTTGAGTCTTAAGATTTATACTTAAAACTTTTCCCATTTTTCTTCAAAAATCTCAAGCAAGTCTCAAGTTGAGTCTTGAAATTTCAAGACTCAACTTAAGACTTGAGATTGGGACCCATTTCACCCACTTCATTTTTATTTTTATTATCCCTTTTTTTTTACACTCTTCTACATATAATATGTCAAATATTTAAGTCTTAGGGCTAAAGTGATAAATTTGTGTAAGTCTAAACAAGAATTTGATGACATCATTTTCAATGGGGACCACCAAAAATGATGTCACATCCAAGTCTTAAGACTTGGGGCTAAACTTGCTCTGTTACATTATACTCAATATGATTCAACCTAGCAAAATCCAATCCAAACGCCTATTTCCACATGCTTTTGTAAATTGTATAATTGGCTAGCAAACATTCCAAGCCCATGCCCCAATTAGGGACATATATAGATAGAGCAAATGGACTAGCTCATTGACAGCTTAAACAAAAATAGGAGTAAGAGAGCGTCAAAGGTCAAGAAGTCAATAATTGTTTCGTATAAGTGAAAGCAATCACATTAATGATTAATACTACTTCGTATAATAATATAAAATAATTAGCAAATTGTAAAGGGAATAAGATACCGTGGGCAATGATTGCTATGTTTCAGATTTTTAGCAATTAGTTTTAGGTTACAAACAATGTACTAATTATAATTATGTCTTTTCTTACAACATTATGAAACTCACTTAGGGCCTATTCTCTTCCGTTGAAATTCAGTTCAGTTCAGTTCAGCTCTTAATTTACATCTAATGATATTGCTAATGATATAAAGCCAAATTTCATTCTTTTAAGCTATTATTACAACGACGACGACGACAACAACAACAACAACAACAACAACAACAACAACAACAACAACAACAATAATAATAGTAATAATATTAACAATAATAATAATAATAATAATAATAATAATAATCAATAAGTAATAAATAATAATAATAATCAATAAATAATAATAATAATAATAACAACAATAATAATAACAATAATAATTGAAATAATAATACTAATAATAATAATCAATAAATAATAATAATAATCATCAATAAATAATAATGATAATAATAACAATAATAATAATAATCAATAAATAATAATCAATAATTAATAATAATAATAATAATATTAATAATAATAATAATAATATTAATAATAATAATATGTACATTTGTATATACACATATGTATAGTAATAAATAATCAATAAATAATCAAAGATCACTAATCCGTAGTTAAAAATTTCTAATTAATAAGTTCAGTTCAGTTCAGTTCAGTTCAGCTGAGTTCAGTCAATCGGAACAGGCCCTTAGTCAATTCCCTCTCAATGTCTTTTCTTGAGGAAGTTTATAGCACAATTTCAATATAGGTATAAAATCATTCAAGTACAAGACCATAATAATGTATCATTATCACATCCTCTTATAATTTTCAATTGCATATCTTGAACACGCATAAAGTTGTAACTCTTATAATTTTCAATTGCGTATCTCTAGAACGTATAAAGTTGTATCTCCAAAGCAGTGTGGTGAGATGCAATCATGCAACACACCATCAACGAACCCCATTATGCTCACATGTCACAAAAACACCTTACTTGATGATCAAACTCCGCCATATATCCGAAGAGGAAGCTTGTTTAGTGGAGTAAGAGGGAAGAGAAAATTATAGAGGGGAGTACCATAAATGAAATTCAGTGTTTCTTTAGGGACGATATATAGTTAAAATGGGATAAAATAGGAATGAAACATAATCTATCCCTACAATTTAATACATAGGAAGAACCAGCAAAGTGGTATATTAAGGAAAAAAGGAAATTAAAAACGACAAAACTGCCCTTAATATAAAAGGAAGGCATGGTAAAGTATTCATGTAGCTTTACCACTTCTCGTATAAAAAAAAAAAAAAAAAAAAAAAAAAAAAAAATTGTCACTTATCTCAATCTTATCCTTAACTCATATTAAACAGCTTAAAAAACTATTAATCCTTCTCATATCCGTATCTCTATGCCACCCTTTTATCCTTATCTCTAACATCAAATGCTTATAAATTTCAAATGTTTTATACATCAAAACCTCAAAAACTCCCACCTAACATACTTCAAATAAACCATCCTTAAACCATATGCCCATACAAAATCCATAATCATTGAATTAAAAAAAAAACAAACATAAAATAATTGCCACAACCAAAAGAATCACATGAAATTTCCACTTCAATTGAATCAAGTGGAGATGTGATTAAGACAATAATTTCTCTCTCTTGAATTGATGGGAAAGTATTAACTACCCCACCATTCAATCCACATGCCCATACAAAATCCATTTACAAATCCAGCTAAAACTTATGGTCATTTCTATTAAAATCTCATTTTTGGGTCCCACATAACTCCCCTTAAACTTGACTGGCTTGTAGTTTTAAACGTTGCCATTTCTTCCTCCATCACATTACTTCTTTTTGGCATTTTTCCAACAGTTTATTATGTATACAAATATGCATCTAATCCACTAAAACTTCAATATTTCAATCCATTTTTTTTAGCTTAAAGTTCCATTTTATCCATTAATTTCATGTACAACATGTTTTCAAAGCTTGCTTTATCCTCTCAACCTTCCTTCTGCAAATATTACTCAACATGTACCGAACCATGCCGTGGAAGAACCCGTCGCGACATGATCTGTAGAATGTAAGTTACACGTATTATTCCCTCTGTCTCATAATAAAACTCGTACTTGTATTTTTAAGGTCAAGGACCATATATTATTAACAGAGAATATATATATCATACATCATTCAGTGTGACATGTAACATAAAACATGGTTTTATCATCAGGGAAATGCAGGCAACACCCTCTCTAGGAGTAGAAGAAGGTGTAACGAGGCGAACACAATCGCCTTGTTTCGATACAACGATGGAGAAATCAGACCTTAAATTTACGAAATTGCAGCAATTAGATACAGAGATTAACCAAGAAAGCAGAAGTTTTGGGATGTTTGTGGCTAGAGAAGCAGAGCTTAATGAAGAATATTGGGTATGTTATTACTTATTACTTACATTATATTATAAAAGAATTAATAATATAAGCCAGATTATTACATGAGATATTTTGGAATTTATATAAATTGGGTTGTCCAATTGTATTTGTGGTAGACAGCAGCCTGGCTTCGTGCCGAAAGTCACTGGGAGGATCGACCAAATGAAAGGTACGTTTAACTGTAGTTAGGTGGAATATATATAAGAAAAATTAAACCTTAATAAAATCCAAATTTATTTTAAATCGCGATTTTGTTTAATCATTTTCATAATACTTTATGTTAGTATGCAACTTAAATATCTAATTAAGTTATTAGGTGTATAAATAGAATCTAGATTGAGAGAATTACAGTTTATAACTCAAAAGCTAATAGCTAACAGATACAACTAATTTTGCTGAACATGACGTTAGGCTACTGAGATTCCCGAAAATGCCACCAATATACCTTCAAATACGCATATGCCATATTAACATATCACGATTATGTTGTGATCAAATATGAGATAACATATGAAAGTTGAAGCTACACACGGTTATTTAGCCATGTAACTAATGATGAATACTAACATTAGTGTGTTCAATAAATCAGATATGCTGAGAGCTACAAAAGGAAATTCGCAGACCAGGTATAAGTTTATATCAATGAATGATATCACTTACAACGAGATGTATCACAATTAGTCCTAATACTTTTTTTTTTTGAAAGACAATTAGTCCTAATACTAATGACTCTTATAATCATTTTAACTAGGAATACAATGCTCTAAAAAGAAGATGCAGGGGATACCAAGGCCAACAGTCTACATGTATTATCGCGGTATATCCTCCATACAATGAAAGATTGAAATTATACATCGATAATCTGGTTCTTCTATCATCCCAGATCATAATAATTCAATTATAATTTCACAATTGACAATGTAATAATCATATATATACCATATAATAGGTATAACCTTTTGTTATTTCATGCAAAATCGATATTAATTAAGAAGCTGTCCTATTGCAATGCAGGTTAAAAGGGAAGCTAATAACGTTAAACATACCATACTCAAAAGTGTGGTAGGAACTTTGGATTTGAGTATTCGATACTTGCTGCAAGGAGAATCATTTCCTGGGGTAACAAAAATTAGCCTTAAACTCTTATATTAATCCAGAAGTTAATCGTACAAAATTTTCTGAGAAACAAGAAGTTACATTCTAGGAAAGAGTTCAGGCACCTTTATTCTGCAGCATTGAGAAGAAGGAAGCAAGCAGATACGGTTATGTTGCAAACTTATGCGTTGCAAAATCAGCTCGGCGCAAGGGCATTGCCCTCAACATGTTGAAGTTTGCAATAAAATCTGCAAAATCAAAGGGTAACACTTGATAAATATTGAAGATTTTATAAGAAAATAACTAAGTATTCTAGATGATTAGCTAGTAATTACAAACCTGAAGATTAGTTTCCGAAATCTGATTTCTAATGGTCTTTGTTGAATGTTGATTTTCGACTTGTAACAGGTGCAGATACGATATTTGTTCATGTTCATAGAAAGAACACACCAGCTCGGCAACTGTATCAGAGATTGGGTTTTGAGGTAAAAATATTGAAATTAAATAGGTTGTTATATGTTAAGTTCATGATTAAAACCTAAACCGATTTGTTGCATCATTTCATCAGATTGTAGAAGTAGCAAGCCAGCAATTAGTAGAGGAACAGATGTACCTGCTTAGCTGCAAGACATAACCCAAAATCGGACATATTCCCCTGCTTACATATTATTTCCTACATTCATTCTACAGATTATTTCTTACACCCGAGCATACCAAGAACCGTGCTCCCAGTAAGGCGCGTGCACATATACTGCAATCATATGTAAATTTTATTGCAACAAATTACTGCGTCTGTTGCATTATGCAAAATGCTGTTCAATTGCAGTAGCCTCATATAAAATCTCCATTGCAAAAATTATAACATGATATATTGAATTTATGCTCTCCAAGGATGGTCAAGGCTATTATTGTGTATAAATGTGGATACATGTAATATGTGCTCCGAACGAACCATCAAAGATAGTCAAAGTAATTATTGTAAATAATTCAAAGGTCAAAAGTGTTGCAAGTATCAAGAAATGATACCAAAAACAAAAAAAAATGAAAGGAAGCATCTGCTTGCTATATTACTGAGGTAACATTATACTGTCAAAAGACATTGACAAAAACATTAGCAACATGTGCTAAAATGTGATCCCTGTATTCTGATCACAAAATCTACCATTAGTCTAGCTATTGACTTCTCTGTACAAAAATAAAATGTTGCAAGGGCAATTACAAGTCACAAAAATGCCATAAGAATGGGTTGAACCATTTCACAAAGTTAGATTGAAACAAAAATATTATCAGGGAATTGTTGCCTTATATGAAGCATTGCGAGCCACCAAAATGAAGAATCAATATGGAGTAAAGGTGGAATAATGCAATGGTCCTTGTTGGAAATCTGGTCTCTTGATATGCTCCAGAATTGGAGTCAGCTTCAACCCAACAATATGTAAATGTTGGTTTGAGTGCCCGTCCACAAAAACCTCCGTAACCTGGCCAAAGTAAATCATAGAGATATTAGAGAGACAATCACTAACACCTGAAATACCACTAAAACCTACTTTAGTATTTCTAAAAAGATCAGATGATTGTGCGTTTGTGCACCACAACAGCGTATATTATAGTCCCAAAAGAAATTAAGTCTATTTTGTTGAAGATATCAGATATGCAAATATAATCTGACTGTTCACCTGAAGCTGGGACTTCGGGGCTAATTCTTATACTCTGACAAAGAAACTTTGATCTTCTTCAGTACATGTGTGTTTTCCAACACTTATTTGGACTTAATCTGAAAGCTAATACAAGTAGCTTATTGGAACTCATTATTCTAGATTTACAAGGTACTTTGTCTGAGTTTATATTATTTAAAAAGTGAGAGCATATAGACAGGGTATCACTGAAAAAACTTTCTCGTAGTATGTACATGCAAAATACTCTCATAGAGAGGGATAGTTATGGCATTTCAGCTCGATTGTTTTTAATCCCAAATCAAATGTGGCCAACCTCATTAGAGGAGAGAGTAACAAAAGTAATTGCTTGCTGATATGTATGCTAGTCGCCTAAGCCATGTGCCTAAAAATTTTCACTAAATTTATACATTCAAGAATACTAACACACGCATAAAGTAGTACAAACACAAACCTGGCCTTGTTAATAATATGGTGTAACCAACGGTAATAGGAAACCAGGCCAAATAATTCCCACTAGGCATTACAAGTTATGAGCAAGGATTAATGTACCTGTGTGCAACCAAAAAGTTTGAGCAACCTGAGAGATAAGCAGCTATCTGCAATTAATCCCAGTGCCTCGTTTGTAAGGAGACGGCACCAGGAGAGATCCAAGCTCTCAAGATTTTTGCAACGCCTAGCCAGAGAAATGGTGGTATTCTGACCAACCTGTAGAAACAAACATATTCTAAGAATCCAAACTATAAATGGATCGTTCAGATATCTCAAGGACATGCAAAAGAAAGAATGGGCATCACCTTGGAGATGTTATTAAGAGATAAATCTATCAAAGATTCTCCAGAGGTTTCAAGGAACGCAGCAATAGCATCATCACTGTCACAGAAAGGATGCAATGATCAGGGGATTTTGCCCTTGAAATTAACCAAAATGAAGATAAATCACAGACGTCGATATTCTACAAATTTATAAGACACCGCTAACAAAGTCGATGATTTAAAAAAAAAAAAAAAAAAAAAGGCAATGTGCTTGTTACTTTGTTAGAGATCATCCTATTGTGGATCCATGGGTTTAAATAGAGGACTCTAAGATTCTATTAAGAATAATGAGTTCAAGCCAACCAAATAAAGGAAATCGAGAAATTTACTCCCTCCACATTTTCCCACACTTGCCTTCACCAACTATCCAATATTATTTGCACAGGCCTTAGCAAGTAAATTCTCTCTCTTCAACACGGCAACACCACACTTTTCTCTTAATTTTCATCTCTATCCATTCCTCTTAGAATTGTGCCAAAGGCAAGTGTGCATATAAAAAGATAGAGATAACGAATCACAAATAAGCAACCACACATATCAATCATAATTTATTTACAACAGTGAAAGTAAACCAAGCAGCAAAAATGGAATGAAAAACCTTGACAAACCTGAACAATCCCACAAGACCCTGATGGACCCAGATGCACCAAAAAATAAAATAAAACTCAAGCCTCTCCAGACAATTTCCTACATACATTCTTATAGTCTAAACGTGTAAACTGAAGTACAACTGAGAACAAAAGAGTGTTGTTTGAAAAAATGACACTAAAAGCTTAACAAAACTGATAAGATAGCAACAGGGTCAAGCATTAAATAACTGAAGCATCAAAAATTACCTGAATGGAGAACGACAAAGTTTCAAATCTTGAATACTGCGACAGCCATTTGTAATATATGCCATGCCAACATCAGACAACTTCCCCAGATAGCTAAGATCGAGGACACGTAACTGAGAACACGTATTGGCAATGACCTTCAGAGAAGAATCGGTCAAATTTCTGCACAAAGAAAAGGTGGTGAGCAGGACATGCTAATTAGTTGAAAGACCACAATGGAGGGAAAAACTTGCCACATATGTTTGACAAGAGAAGCATAGCAAGCTGAAGATATTGATCCAATTACAGGAAGACAAGAAAAAAATAATAGTACTCAGGAGAAAAGATCAACTTACACACAGTTGGCCAAAACAAGCTCCTTCGTGTTCTGACCGTTTTCCCCAAATAATTTTTTTATAAATTTGTCAGAAACACTGACTATGCCCCTGAGTGACAACACTTCCAATGCTTTCAGCTGCTGTAGTTTAGGAAGGATACGCATTGCATCTAAAGTCTCACAATCATCAAGATATAATTCTTGCAAAATCAACCCCAGTGAATTAGCAATACTGTCAATGCCAACATCTGTCAAAAGAGTGCATTGACTGAGATTCATAGATCTCAGGGCAGGGGCGGATGAAACAAGTGCAGCAAGGCCAGCATCTGAAATACGGCAACCACCTTTCAACGATATAGTTGTCAATGCTTCCAATCCTTTTGGTATTAAAGCCTTGCGCAACAAAGAGTCAGATACACAATGTCCGCACAGGTCAAGTTGTAAAACCTAATTTTATATGGAAAATAATAATTAGCATTACAATATTTGCTTAATGGAAAAAGATGTGATCATGAAAGAAAGAATGCAAAGCTGCTTGTCTTCCCATTGTAGAGTGTACTAGGACTAAAACAAATCTACTTTTCATATACAAGGAGAAACCAGGTTGTTTGCTTAACTCCCAATGGCCAAGTTAATAACATCTCACATAATAAAGATGAATATGCCATTGCTTTTGAGAATCAAATCTAGCATAGCAAACTGCAGGATGACTCGGGTACATGTATTACAATTAATAATAAGAAAATAGACACCTGACATGAAGCTGCACAACAGAAGGGCTTGCAGTCTAGCTAAAAAGCAACTTTTCCAAACATATACACACAATCAGCTAGAAGGCGAAGGAAACATGAGATCGCAGATACCAATTAGTATGCTTATAATCAGCAGGTAAAGCTTAACTTCTAATATTATGGCCATGGCACAAGTTCAAACATAAGTAATAACCAGGTAATATAACAGTATGAATGTATGATAAAGTCCCAATTAAGCTCATCTCACACATTTGGAAAAGAACTAAGGATATACAAGCTACTAAAGCTAAGAAAATCAACTTCAATTTCACCAATACATTATAAAAAAAAAAAAAAAAAAGCACAAGGAAAAAGCAATCCAATATACCGTCATGATTTTAGTGTCACAAGCTTCAAACAACTTCTCAAACACACGCTCTTCTAGCCACGAACAGTCGCTAAGGCGTATCTCTGAAGGAGACCCGTCAAGAAGAAGACCGAGAAAATGTGGATTCATCTTCCTAGAATCACAAAGCAACCGACTAAGCTTGTTCCTCAATGCATCAGGGACAGTATCAAGAGAAGTGATTGCATCAACATTCTCTGCCAGGACATTCAAGCACAAACTTATCAATGAAGGGGCCTCTCGCTTCCTGCACTCAAGGTCCCTTTCTTTCCTAGGAGTCCAAGATACCAATGGAAACCCTTCTTTAACAGAACTCGAATCACGTGCTTGACGACTCGAGTTCTTCTCTCTATCCCTTATAATTTTCATGGCAGTTGAAAATGGTCCGGGCCAATCTTCAACATTCCCAACTGGTTCTTCTGCTTGAATTTCTTCATCATCATCGTCGTCCTCATCATTCACATCATTCTCTTCTTCCCGAGCATCAAAAAAGGCATACTTCGAAGCATTTCGCCTTGCTATATCTTTATGTTGAGCCCTCAAATCCTTAGTACGCTCCTCAAGTACTACATTCTCATGAACATCATCATCCATCTTATTCACCAAACCTCCCATCTCACTACCAGCCATAGAAAGTTGAACAGCTAAACCCAATTCTACATCATTGAATTCGCCATCGCTTTCGGACTTTACACCTTTCCCCTTCTCCTCTCTACTAAACCTCCCTGAAATTGCACCTTTCCCCTTCTCTTCTCTACTAAACCTTCTTCTTGAGCTCTTCAATCTCTCATTCTCTAAATCATCATCCACCTTATTCAAAACAGCTTTTCCTTTTCCCTTTCCCTTTCCCTTTCCGTTTCCGGTAAGGTAATCGCATTCTTCCATTAAGTTGTTCAAATTTTCCATCGCTGACATAAAACCAAAGGACATATTTCTCTCATTCTCACAATCACCATTTTCTTCAATCAAAATGTCCTTTCCCTTTCCCTTTCCCTCCTTAACAGAATCGATTTCGCGCTCATTCGACAAATTCCTCACTACCTTCATCCCTGACCTTAAACTCAAACACCCATTTCCCTCTATCATTGCCTCATCCTCAAAACCACCACCATCTTCAATCAATTTACCCTTTCCCATTCCCTCTCTACTAGAATCAATTTCGCCCTCATCCCCCAAATTCTTGGCTACCTTCGTCCCTGACCTTAAACTCAACCACCCATCTTCTTCCTCCGAACAATCAAAATCCTCCCTTTTCAACTTCTTCAAACACTCTTCTACAATAGAATCACAATCAGAAACCCTAACACTATTCTCATCAAATGAACTCAACCCTAAACCATCAAAACAATCCACATCTTTAACTTCATCATCATCCAAATGAAATGGCATCGTCTTACCAACAGTCTCATTTCTCCGACGCTTAGCGGTGTAATCAGAAGCCAATTTCCGGGTATTCTCCTCGGAATTCGGCTTCGAAGCGAGACGATTACTTCGACGAATAGGTGGGGCCGACATCGAAACCAAATTGGACTCAAAATCGACGGAATTAGGGCTAGAATTGGTCGAATTTGCTAATGATTGAATGGTTTTGGAAGGAGTTGTGGGTTCAATAAACCCATTAATTTCTAGGGTTTTGGAAGAAGATTGAGGGTTTGGAAATTGGGGAATTTCTCGGGACCTGAGAACCGGCATTTTGGGAAGGGAGGAGAGAGAAAATGGGAGAGGAAAGAAGAGAGAGAAAGGCAGTTTTGGAAGAATGACCGGAAAACGGCTCAGGAATGTTGGGGGATATTGGAGTGATGTTGTAAATGGGAGTGTTGGTTTCTTCCTCTAGAAGACTTTTATTTCCCGCCAATTATTGTGACTTTTTTTTTTTTTTTTTTTTTTTTTTTTGGAAAAATACTAGGGTGTTGTTAATTTTGATTAAGATTAAAATTCATTTATTGGATTGATTTTGATTGGAACCAAAAATCGAAAATAGTAAATTGTGTATTTATATGGTAAATATGGACTATTTTCCTACTTTATAAAAAGTAGAAGATTGCGCTTATGAATAGTGCACGGACATATATGCCCTTCAAAATGTTTGTTTATGTTCCCCATATATAATAATAATTTCTTACATTTATGTCCTTCCACGTGTGCAGATGTAATAATGAGTGTTGAGCTTTCTCTCCCCTTACATTTATGCACTTTTATATTAAGAAAATTTCACAAGAATAATCCAACCTTTAATTTAGCATGTTCTCCCAAAATAATTCAACCTTTTGATTAACCTTGAATAATCTTAAGTTTGCTACTTATCTTCTCTTACCAAACCTTTTTGACCGGTTATCTGAACTTCAGGTTACTTTTTTATTTTTATTTTATTTTTTATTTTCCTAAATTTTCCCTGCCTTCTTCCTTTTCCCCTCTTCAACACTATTTCAAGCTTCCAATCGTTAACAATGGCTCCTTCACCTCTCTCAACCTTGCCGCCACTGTGCACTACCTCACCTCACCTCACTGTTAGCCTAACCCATTTTCCCATCAATCAGCCCGCCCCACTAGCACCTCCTCTCCCTGTCAACCATCCCTCCACGTGCCACAACCTCGCAATTAGCCCGTAACTTAGCCACCACCACCACCGCCACCACTAACCCCACCCAAACCCACTCCCACCAGACTCAAAACCACCAATCCCACCTAGTCGAAATCACCCATACCCGAATTCACCAACCCATACCCGAAACCCCAATTCTACCTACCCAAAACACGAAACCCCAACTCCCACCAATTTCCTTCTCTTTTCTCCCTCTCAATTGAATTTTGGGCTGAATTGGGGCGGTCGTAAGCCGTTGATGTTGTGGGTGTTGTTTTTGGTTGTGGGTGGGTCATGGATGTTGTGGTGATGCCGGTGGGTGTTTGTGGTGGTTCTAGGCCGTGGTGTTTGTAGTATTGTGATGGTGTGTTGAGTGGTGTTGGTGGGTGATAATGGAGGAAGGAAGAGGAGAGGGAAACAAACAGAGGGGAAGGAGATAGAAGTTTTTTTTAAAAAAAAAAAAAAATCAGAATTTAAATTTATTATTTAAAGAAAAAATAAAAATTTGACCAATCAAAAATTGCCACGTGGATGGTAACCGGTTAAAAAGGGTAAGGTGACCTGCTGGGGTTGCTAGGAGAAAATATATAGTAAACTTAGGATTATTCAAGGTTAATCGAAAGGTTGGATTATTTTGGGAGAATGATACAAAGGCTGGATTATTCTTGTAAAATTTTCCTTTATATTATAACTAGATAATGCCCGAACCATGCTCGGGTCTTAAATTAATATTGAGTATTAATTAAAATATAGAAGTCCCTATATAAATACAAGTCAATAGTCAACTCTTTCAAAAAAATAAAAGTCAATAGTTAACCACAAATAAATAAATAAGGAAGTTTATAAATAAATTAATGATTTTGAAAAAAAAAAAAAAGTAGTATTGTTTTGGAGGGAAGAATCCCTCCAAAAATTATCTCACGTTAGTACGTACTATATTAGTCTCGTGCGATGCACGATTTGAACAAATAAATTTTCTATATTTTTTTATTTTTTCATATCAAATTAAAGCAAAAAATATCTCAAAACAAATAATACATCAAATATTTAAAAAGAAAAAAAATAGAGCTCATAGAAAAATTGAATGATGAAAGGAATACTTGAGGAAGCCGTTCAAAAAAAAAAAAAGGAATACTTGAGAAAGAAAAATTAAATCATTATTGTTAGAGAGAATAGATTGTTTTTTAGAAATTGATACTAATAAGAATATAGCTTACCAAAATTTTAACAAAAAAAATTATAAAATGATGACATCATTTATAGGTTTACAAATGTGGCTGGCCACATGGTGCGTCAGGGGTTATTTGTATGGTGTTAGGGCCTGTTCTCATTAACTGAACTTAACTGGTGTTAGGGTCTGTTCTCATTGACTGAACTCAGCTGAACTGAAGTGAAGTGAACTGAACTGAGCTGAACTAAACTGAACTGAACTGAACTGAATATTTTATAAGAGAAGAAAATTAGGAGCTGAACTGAACTGAACTGAGCTGAGCTGAGCTGAACTGAACTGAACTGAATATTTTATACGAGAAGGAAATTAGGAGCTGAATTGAACTGAACTGAAGTGAGCTGAACTGAACTGAACTGAACTGAACTGAATTTAATTTCAACGTAAGAGAACATGCCCTTACTTGTATTCTGGGGTTACTTGTACGTTGTTACTGGTTTTTGCCAGGGTGTTACTTGTATTTTGGGGTCACTCGTAAGGTGTTACTGGTTTTGATCAGGGGTTACTTGTAGGGTGTTACCTGTATTCTGGGGTTACTCGTAAGGTGTTACTGGTTTTGATTAGGGGTTACTTGTAGGGTAACTTATACGAGTAACCCCAAAATACAAGTAACTCATACAAGTAACCCAAAATACAAGTAACCCCTGACAAAACCGATAACACCCTACAAGTAACCCCTGCCGCACCATGTGGCCTGCCACACTGAAAAACCTCTGTTATAGTTTTAGAGGGAAATTTTTTAATGACAGCATGATATGTGTTTAATTTTAGAATAGGAAGATGTCAGCGATTGCTATTTTAGTATTAGTTATAGATTTATAATATAGGTAAATATATTATAGGTAAATTTAAAGTTCACATATATATATTGCATTGTTGAATAATTGCATAGATGTTTCTTGAGAAAAAAATTGTAAACAACTAGAAAAGTCGTGTAGGAAAAATGAAAAGTTTAAATACAACCCAACATACACATTCCATTAATTTATCAAAATATTTTCTGTAAAACCCAATGTCGTAAAGAGTTTAAACACAACCCAATATAAACATCAAGAAAGGACAAGCCACTCCACGCGCATCGCACGCGTTGGCTGCCGTAGTATATTGATAATTAGTAAAACTATGTTTTCAAAACTTGTACGAAGTATGAATCATGTAAAACTAGTTCTGAAATATATATATATACTAGATGAAGCCTGTGCGATGTACGGTTTGTTTGAATTTTTTAAAATAATTTTTTTATATATATTTATGTGCTAAAATTTGTTATATATTTTGATAAAATTCCTGATATCAAAAGATCATATTTTATATTTAATTAATTTAAACCGGGAAATCTCATTCGTCAATTTTGCTTACATGACATTTGAATTATTTAATTCTAAAAGAAAATAATAATCTCTTATTTGATTGGCTACAATTGGAATTTATAACCCTACATGGCGCGCTAAGAAAATTAAATCTTATGTGGCTCTCTAAAAACTCGGGAAAAACTCCCATATATATATATATATATTAGATTAGATTTTTTTAATAATCGCATAAGGCTATAAAAATTTGCAACATATTTTAGCTTGAATTTGAACAAATTAGATTTAGTGAGAAATTTGGATCGAATTGCATTGAAAAATTGAAAGTCAAATTTTCCTTTGAATTGAATTAGATTTGGCCTAAATCAGAATCAAAAATCGAATGTCACCCCTAAAAACTATTACGAGTATGTAGTTTGGATAATACATACACTGATATATACCTCGTATTATAAAGTGTTGATCTTGTGGCCTGAAGTATACATTAAAATCTTAACCATAATTCATATATGTTTAATTGTGTGTTCAATGTACCTATTTAAAAAAAAAGTTTCATGGTTAATCAAGTTTAATCGGGGTTTGCAATCACATTTCCATAAGATAATCAAGCTACTTTACAATCACATTTTTGCATTCTGTTGAATCTGCTCTGTCCATAACTGCTAATAGCCTCATGAGAAGAGAAATGTAGGGCTTCCCAAGTTAAATGATGATAAGGATGAAGAAGAGAGAGTTGCGATGTTGAATAGATTCAGATCAATGAGTGATCATTAGGTTGGTTCTTAAAATTATGATTCCGTAGCTTAATTATATTTAAATTTGTTTTAAATTTTAATTTGAGTATAAATACAACATTATAATGTTTCATGTAAAACAAAGTTATAAAAATAATAGATGAAAAGGAAAATGCTTTGAATTCACCTCTTATATTATAGTGAAAATTTAAAAATTCATTACTAGTTACAGGTGTTATACAAATCCAAAGATTTTTTCCAAAACCCCTATATATTATTCAATGAAATATATTTTGTATAATAGTAAACACACCGGTTAAAATCCCTCAAAATCATATAATAAATGAGTTGTGACCCATTGTCGTTAGCAGATTAACTGCTCTTTTCTGTATTTCTCACCTTTTTTTAGTTTCTTTTATTTTCAAGAACAATATCTCTCTTTCACTTATATTCTTTTTGTCTAATTTCGACGATAACAAAATATATTTACCTTAATTTACCATTGGTTGGAAAGATTTTGTCGGTTGTCGGATCGATACACTTTTAATTACTTCGATAACGATCTGTTTGTAAATCATGGAAGGAGATAAATTGATAAACCCCAATTTAAAATGAACCACTTCCAAACGTTCAACAAATTAACAAAATGTTTTTGTTACACTTAAGATATGTTGATCTATAAAGATGTGTATGGTTATACTTTCTTTGGAAGCTTTATTATTTCCTCCCAAAATATTGTGACGGTTCATGTTTTTTTTTTAATCAAATAATATTCGAGAGCGTTATTTGTATTTTTTTTTAATGTTCTTGCTTGTATATATTAGGATAATTTAATAAGAATATTCCAACATTTGTCTCGTTCTCCCAAAATAATACAACCTTTCAATTAACCCTAAATAATCCTAAATTATTGTGTATTTTCCAATCGCTTTAAATCGTCTACAATAAGCCTTTTTTCGACCATGTAGACAACCCTAAACCCATCTTCCCCACTTGTAGGGTAAATAATAAACATCACTGTTGATATTAGCATAATCATTATTTTTTCATAGAACCGGCAGGAAAGCTCTAATCACTTAAAGTATACATCACTCTCAACATTACAATTATTCAGTATGAATTTGAGCATATTCATCTTTTGATGAAGTATTCTCTTCTGACAAGTAATTCACATACTCTAATCCCCAATAACTTTGATAAAATCAAAGTTGCACAAACACCCCAAAATCATACGTAACCTCGGGGATTTTTTTTTTTTTTTTTTTGGCAAGGTTGTTAAGAGAATGATAAAGGCAAGGAAATAGTAAAGAAATGGTTACACAATATTTAACATATGGGAAAAATTATAAAGAAAATCCACGAACGACGATCACTGAAATGGTGAATAGTACGAGAAAACTCTCACTATAAGGAGTAATACAAAAATAGAAATAGTCGAATCAACTTCATAGAGAGAAGGTAAATTGGTAGAGAATTATAAAGAGGTGAAAGGCTTATGTGTATGGTATGGCTTCTAGTGTGTGTATGTACCTATTTATAGTTGTAATGGAGCTTGGAAAAAATAGTTGGAAGCTAGATTATAGAAATTCCCTCATTATTCTTGTATCCGTAATGTGGTAGAAAATTCACAAATCATATTTCTAGTTACTTCCAATGTCAATAATTCTCTAACTTTTTTTTTTTGTGGCTTGCTTGATACAAGTTAACAAAAAACTATAGGGAATTGAGAGCAATACTAACATGCTACATGTATCCAGAAGCTTCTAGAACATGAAGCATCAAAATAATGAGCCTATTAAAATTAGGGCCACACCCAAAAGGGGTTTTCTCAAAAAATTAGATCCATTCACAAAGTCTAATTGATATTCTGTGATGGGTGAATAAGAATATAGCAATACTAGCGGTGCTCAAATTAAATTAAAGTAAATAAAACAATGGTATAAACTGGACACTAGATGGAAAAAACATCGGTCAAATGATAAAAACACATGGATTGATTCACTTGTAAAGAACGTGATTGATAGCTATCTCTTTGGCTATGTTAGTTGTACTCCAAGCTATGGAGCTTCCATAAACTGAAATGAAGGATTTTCTATACAATATAGCTTCTACATGCATGGCGAATGCTCTCCCTTTACATACACCACATGTGTGGAATGGGATATAGTAATACTCTTTCTCCCATTCTCTTTATCTATTAATTACGGTGTAATCAACTAACTTTGAAGATCAAAATTAACCCAAGCCAAGTAGTTAATTACGCATGCATGAGCACCTCTCCTTGCCAAGCTCGTCTTTAATATATCGCTATTTCGCTATTGTAAATAGCTTCCACAAGAAGATACGCCAACCTAAGCTAGTGGTATACCATTGTGATCAACAAATGCATGTTCTATATGGTCAATCTACTTTGTTATTTTAAGAAATGTAGACATGTCAAGTTTCGATAATATACAAAGTAAGAAGTATATGTTAACACCTTAATTACACGTACAATAAACTCTTACATCGGAAAACTATTTACGGTAAAGGAGTGCCTTGCTCATTAGTTGTGTCATACTCCCTCCGTTTTTAAATACTTGCTCCATTTCTATTTTTTGCACTATTCATTTATCCTACTTTGACAAATATTTGTGATTTATACATAAGAAAAAATATAGTCTTGTGAGTACTTGTTGGAATCATCTCAATGAATAGATTATTAATTTTCAATTGTTAGAATTTAAACTTATTGATAATTAAATATATTAGTGATCAAAGATTAGTATCGATATGCGTGTCCAAGAGAAATGGAGCAAGTATTTAAAAACAGAGGGAGTAGCTAGGTAGGTCGGCTTTAAGAAATTTCTTCACAAGTCACCCCATAAGTTAAATATCATTGAAAAAAATGTTGTCATTTCTAGTCTTTGGTCTTGTGTCTTTTTATCCCCTTTTTGTTTTTGAATATAAGTGTAGATAAAGGCAAATCATCCATCTGCATGTATTATGCATAAAACTACTCCGTAATAGCTTACACAAATTCACAATTGATAGAGAATATCCATAGAATATTCTCATCCTAGGTTTAAGATATATTTTGTATAAGATTATCTTTGATATCTGTACATATCTTATAGTTACCTAATATGATTAGGTTTCTCATTGTAACCCTATAAATATTGATCAATGGAAATCACTCTATCAAGAAGTTTATATTATCTGACAACAATAAATTACCCCATATGTAAAGAGATAGTTGATTCATTAAAGGATCCCCTTAAAAAAGTATACAAGTAAGGGCATGTTCACATTTACTTAATTTCAGTTCAATTCACTTCATCTCCAATCAGTTCAATTTAGTTCAGTTCAGCTCTAATCAGTTCAGTTCAGTTCAATTCAGCTCCTAATTTCTCTGTCTCATAAAATATTTATTTCAACTCAGTTCAGTTCAATTTAGTTCAGTTCAGCTCCAATCAGTTCAATTTACTTCAGTTCAGTTCACTTCACCTCACTTCAGTAAATGTGAACAGACTCTAATTGTTTTTCTTTTTTAAAGGAACAAGTAATTAGTTAACTATATGTGTCATAAGCTTTATCAAAATAATTTACATCGATCTTGTCGTTTGATGAAAATTCCAATATAAGAATGATGATGTCATTCCCTTAGCTTGTGTCTTTTGTTCCTCAATCCATTCTCCTAATAACTACATTTCATTTTCACAACATGAAAAGTGTGTTGTTTTTCTATGCAATCTTCATTCTTAATAAATACGTATAGAGTAGGATGCATGCATGGACCACGTAGAAATGGAGTGCCAATCAAAGCTATACCAGTATAATAGCTTTATTAATCGGTTGATATCAAAGTATACAATTTTTTTTTTTTTTTTTTTTTTTTGATGTAAAACCTCAGTTATATTTCATTTAATGCAAATCAATTTTATATGCAATGCAAATGATTTTTTAATTTTTTATGGAATAAGAAGGGGTGATTTCATTAAATAATAATAGTTATTCGACACTTACAATCATCCCTTAATACATCTAAATTCTCAATACATCTAAACTTTGCATCGTTCTTGACAAAGCTCCATTGATGTATAGTAGCAAAAGTGAGAAAACCTGATTGATCATAAAGATCTGCAAATTTGCAAGACGAATCTTCTAAATCTGCACCCGGCCCCTATACCAACAAACTTGCAATTATTCCACTAATTTGGACAAATTTGTAAGACGAATCTTCCAAATTTGTATCCATGCACACACTAAAAAAAACAAACAATACTAAACCCTACATGAAAAGACCAACTAAACCCTACATAGAGGGATTGACTATAACCACCGTACCGATGGTGATCTTTGTTGGCTAAAAACATTAAAATTAAAGAAGAATTTGGAACTTACCATTGATAAAAATCGATGGCAGCTCTTAGGTTTTAATATGGTGGCTAGCTTTGAAAAGAGAAAACAGTAAAAAAAAAAATTTATTTTTTTGGTTATATATAGTAGTCTATGCCATCGAAGTGATTTAATTCACAGGTATATCAATACAAATATGTTTCTCCTTAAAAATGTGATATTTTGAGTTTTTAAAGTTGGTAAGGGGTAAGGGGTTAAACCCCGTTCTTTAAAGTTGATCTGCTAAAATCTGCTTTGTTGACTCAATTTGCTCTGTTAGCACCTGCTTTGCTATGCTCTGCTCGGCCCGGCCCAGAAGCTCAAAAGAACATAGCCTTATTTGGCCAGGAGTTACTCACGGTCAGGTACGGTGTTACTAAGTCGATCAAGGGTTACTAACTCGATCAGGGGTTACTTGGTCAGCTAGTGGTTACTCAGTTGGTCAGGAGTTACTCGGTCAGGGATCGGATTACTCATCGGTTAGGGGTTACTTGTTGTGTAAGCTGGCCACACGGTGTAGCTAGTCACACACAAAAGTTATTGTTGTACAATTATACCATCTAAAATGTTTATTTACTTATTTACCCTCATTTATATTAATTACTTTTTTAATAAAAAATCTTTAATATACACTGTCTGTGGAGGTTTGGACATATATACCTAAAAATAACCTCTTTTTTTTAGTTTACACGTTTCTTTAGTCAACTTTACCCATACACAAATTCAACCATTAAAATATTTAATTAATGATAATTAAAAATTATGAAATTTTGAATTTTTTAAAATATATATCTTAACGAATCTAAGGGTCTGTTTTGATTTACTGAACTGAGATGAGCTGAACTGAATTTAATATTTTATGGGAGAAGGAAATTAGGAAATGAATTGAACTGAACTTAAATTAAGCTGAAGAGAACATGTCAACAAGATCCCACATAAATATATTTCTAGTTACATATAAAGCACTAAATACAGTCAAAGGAGAGTGTGTGAGTAATGCTAAAGTTAAAACGTGTCAGCTTAAAAAAATAAAGGTAGTAATTATTTAGGATTTATTTACAAATTACAATATCTTCCCTTATTAATGTTGTCAACAACTAAATTTGTAGCACAAAACCAAACGGAAAAAACTACCGTTAGTCATATATGACTAGCTATGACACACGTATTGTGTGGTTAGCCGCTATACTATCGATAAACATAACTACGATTACATGTTGTAGTACAAGTTTTTTAGGGTCTGTTCTAATTCGTTGAAAACAATTGAATTGATAGAGGCTGAACTAAGTTAAAATAAACGGTTTATGAGCGAAGGATATTAAGAAGTGAGCTGAATTGATAGAGCTGAACTAAACTGATTTTAAAATTAAGCCGTCGTAGACCCGTAGCCTACTAGTGGTCATCGTAGTAGGATTATTTACCAAAAAGCAAAGGAAAAAAAAAACTCATCTTTTCTTCTTCCAGAAAAGGTCGTGCCCAATTGCAATTATGAACAACACGATTATACAACTACTTTAATCATATTTTTCAAACATTACCATTAAACAACTCAAATTATTCGTTTAATTTCCAGACATCAATCATATGTTCATATCATACATTTAATACAACTATACCGCGTTTTATACCATTTTCTCTCTCCTCCCCAATCGCTTTCTCTTCAACCTTCACTTCCTCCATTAATGGTGAATGGTCCTCCATTAAAGCTCCACTCCTCTTAATCAACCCCCACTAACATCCAACTTTCTCTCTCCTACAAAACCCTTTCACCATTTTCATGGGTTTTCACCATCACCGCTCTTCTTCTACCGATAATGGCGTCCCTCAAATTGTCAACAGTCCTCGCTTCTCGAGCTCCATGACACGCCGAGCTCCTTCCTTCAAACGCGCTGCCAATTCCGCCGCCGTCAACGACGCTGCTTCGACTAGCACCACCCCAACTGGCGGCGGAAATTCTCTCTCTACTCACCATGAAATTGACCTAATTTTGAACTCACCCAGATCTGATCCTGCTACTACGGCTCTTTCTCCTGATGGGTTTGATTCGTTTTGTGAAAAGAAACAAACCCAGAATCAGAATCATTTTGGATTGCTTCATCATAGAATTAAGAAGCATTCTTCTTCTGTTCTTGGATCTGATGCTGTTAAAGGGGTTGTTGAGCTTGGTTTTAGAGAGAGGAAGAAATTAGGTCAATGGATGTTCTTTCTATTTTGTGGGGTTTGTTTGCTTTTGGGTGTTTTTAGGATTTTTGAACATGGGTTATTTGGATCTTCCATGATTGATTCAACTCAGTCTAATCTTCAGGTAATGCTAGCTTTTTAGTCATTAAACTACTTTATTTAATTATTTTTTATTGTTATTTTTGTTGGGATTTATGTTAAAAATAGATGGGTTGATTTATTCTAATTTTAGTGTTTGATGAGTTGTTAGTTAGTTGTTTGTTTGATTTCAAGTTTTGTTAGTACTATGTTAAATTGTTCGGTAAGTCAATGGAATGGAGAATAAGAGGGGTAGGTGGTTTATTTTGGCCATGCTAGTATGCTTTGTGACTTGTGTGTGAGCTATGAAAACTTGTAAAGTTTAAGGAAACGACTTTTTTTTGGAAAGCACCTACTGGCCGAAGCATATTCTTGTTAGTGACTATCATTTCTTATTTGAGTGAATTATGTATTTCCAAATGGTGCTTACTAGGATTATGTAGAATTGCTAATCTGAGTGGTTGACCTATAAAGCAATCATCTTCAAAATGTATTGTAATTAAGTATATCATCGAGTTTCGGTTCTTCAAAATACAAAAGGAGTTGGATCAAAAATGGACTATGGAGTTGGCATGTATTAGTCTATATTAGTATTTGTACTTAGTATTTGTACTAATAGTAGTAATGATTGAAAAGTAATCTATACAGAATAACTTGATAGTTGGTAACTAAGCACTGTAATGTAAGTCACCAATTTGTCATTTTGGGATAGAATATGAAGGTAGGATTGTAGGAATAAGGAGTGGAGGAATAGTATAGAATGTGAGGGAGCTTGGGTGAGAGTAAACAAATATCAGAACATGAAACCAAAGAAAGAGAAGCTTGGGTGAGAGTAAACAAATATCAGAACATCCTGTTTCACCATTTACTGTATGGTTCAGGTGAAGAAATTAGAACGAAGATGCATGACGAGGTGATATCTATTCCTTGACCTTTGTATCTTTTTAAGTAAGTCAAGTAAGTGGCTATGGGATTTGATGGGGGATAAATGGATAATACACTTCTTAGTGTTTGAATCTAGTTTAACCTTCAAGATCTAAAAGGAGGGAAAATCTGGAGTAGGTAAATATGGATAACAGTGAATCCTTCATGACTTCGTGTCCATAGGATTGGATAAGTCATCAATTTGGTAATTTGGAATGGATATGTAGGGTGAGAAAAAAATGAAAGGTGGAAGGGTAATAAAATCCAAGGGAGAGGAATTCCTCATTTTGTGTTTGCGTTTTACATGAAATGCAGAGGAGGACTGAAGGAGACCTTTAATTTAAGATGAAACTATGTTTTTCATTCAATATTTCTCTATTCCCCCATTTATTATTTGATTCAAGTGAAGACATTGGGATGAAGATGAACGATAAGGTGATGTTTAGCCCCTTGACCCCTCCATCTCTACAAGTATTTTGCAGGAAGTATCTGTGGGATTTGGCAGGAGATCTTCTCTTTTCTGATTTTAAGAATCTAGTTCAATCAGTTCAAGCACTAAAAGATGCAAATTCTTTGTAATCTTTCAAGTCCTTAAGTTGGTAAATACGGGTGGTACTGTTGCCCTTATGATCTCAGGTCTATGGCCTATAGGTTTGAGTACCTTTACTTCTGTACTGTCTATGTAGGGTAACTATTTAACTTTATAAGAAAGATTCTCCCTGGTAATGTATAATAAAGTCGAGGCTATTCGACAATATTGAAAGTGACCTGCATCTTAGCTGTTTTCTTGTAACTCAATGCATAACTAAGCATGGACATGCCATGCAAAATTTTGTTTGAACCTCTTGATATCACAAGGGCCTCCGGGTTTCCTGTTTAAGGGTTAAACTTGGTTAATCTTTTTTTCCTTTTTCCTCCAGTAATAATTTGTCTGTTCTTCTTGTTAGGTTCATTCTGGCTCCCAATTCCTTCATTACCAGGCAGATCAAAACGTTCCTGATTATAGCTACAGAGAAGGAGAAGGTGTTAGACAGGAGAGCGGTGATATTGAACGGACTCTGATGATGGTGGCCTCTGGTGTAGTGAGTACTGAAAAAAGTGAGAGTAAAGTAAGTTCAAAATATATATTTTTTCATTTTTAACTCTCTAATTTCTTTCACTTGTTGTATCACTCATGCTTAGATCTATATTGTAGTGTGATGACATATGGTCCAGACCAAGCAGCGGAAACTTCAGCCAGTGCATTGATCTGCCAAAGAAGCATAAAAGTATGAATCTGTGCATAGAAGTTGTGCATGTATGCACATGGTTTTTAATCCTTTTTGCTGTATATTTTATAAGAATTATCATTATCTGCGGGAATGTGCTCATTTTTTATGTAATGGGTCCTCACTATCATTTGTTTTCCTTTGGCAGAGCTGGATGAAAGGACAAATGGTTACATCCTCATAAATGCTAATGGTGGCTTGAATCAGATGAGATTTGGGGTATGGTGGTTGTTTGTTTTCATGGTTCTAATGTAATCAATAAGAGTTATTAGCTTTGACTATGATCTCATAAGTACTAATTTTAGAGTGCAGATCTGTGATATGGTTGCTGTTGCTAAGATCATGAAAGCCACTCTTGTTCTTCCTTCTCTCGATCACACATCTTACTGGGCTGATGAAAGGTAACATACTCTTTTGTCTACATTATATCCCAAAAATTTATATTGTTAATGATGTTCATATCCTCACTCAACACTCAGAAATAGCCCTTAGGTCCATGTTCCTTATCCAAGTATCGGTCATACCAGTCAAATATTGGTTATCCTCGTGACATTCATGAAGGAGAAGGCTCGGACTTCTCATACCAGTCAAATATTGGTTTTCCTCATGACATTCATGAAGGAGAAGGCTCGGACTTCCTAATTACCTTTATACATTTTTTTGCCAACTTAGATAAACTGAACAGAGTTTGATTCTGGATAAGATATTTTATACTCTATTGTTCCCTTATTGTTATTTGTAAGTAGTGATTGACTTGGAATGCATTAGCCTAATCTTGTAATAGACTAGTCATGCATGTATTTGATACAAAATGTTTGCCTGTAATCTTCTCTTTTTCCTTATGTTTGTGCCTATGCTTCTGTCCTCGTGTCAATCTTTCTAAGACTAGCACTCTGCGCTCAAAAAAAATTCTGCTATTCCTTGCATATTTTGATATTACGGAGTAGCTTCCTAAAACAATAACTGCATGCATCGCAAAGTGGATTTACGACTAGAATTAACTGATTTTCTTATGCATTGACAGCGGGTTTAAAGATTTATTTGATTGGCAGCACTTCATGGAGACATTAAAGGATGAAATCCATATAGTTGAAGCATTACCAAAAGAATTTGCCGATATTGAGCCTTTTACAAAAACACCCATATCTTGGTCTAAGGTTTGATAAAGACATTTATCTTTCAAATTATACTCTTTTGTTTAGTGCTTTAGTCCTCCTTTCTTATCTTAATAACAAAAAATAAAAACTGTGCTTAGATTCTGAGAGCATGAATGACCAAAATGCTCTTTCTGTAGTCTTCATATAGTAAATTATGCTATTATGATTAGCATTTGACTGACACAATTATATATATTAGGCTAGCTACTATAAATTAGAAGTCCTCCCACTTCTGAAGCAGCACAAAGTAATGTACTTCACGCATACTGATTCCCGGATTGCTAACAATGGTCTCCCCAATGGCATACAAAAGCTAAGGTGTCGAGTTAATTACAGGGCATTAAAGTACTCATCCCCCATTGAAGAACTTGGGAAGACCTTAGTTGCAAGAATGAGACAAAATGGAGGCCCTTATCTTGCTCTCCATCTGAGGTTAGCTCTGTCGATCCCATTCAGAGAAGTGCTAGTTGCACTTGCACTTTTATGCTTCCTGATCAATAATACATGTATTCCATGTAGTTTACTACACTGCTTATTCTCAATTTTATTTTGTTCTTGTTTCATGTTAGGTATGAGAAGGATATGCTTGCTTTTACCGGCTGCAGTCATAATTTGACTGCAGAAGAAGATGAAGAGCTTCGAAAGATGCGGTATGAGGTCAGTCATTGGAAGGAGAAGGATATTGATGGATCAGAGCGGAGGAGACTTGGTGGTTGCCCAATGACCCCTAGAGAGACTGCCTTACTCCTGAAAGGATTGGGTTTCCCATCCACCACAAGAATATATTTGGTTGCTGGTGAAGCTTTTGGAAATGGAAGTATGCAGTACCTCACAGATGAGTATCCTAATATTTTCTCACATTCAACTCTTGCTACAGAAGAGGAGCTGGAACCTTTCAAGAACCATCAAAACATGCTGGCTGGTATAGACTATGTTGTTGCACTTGAAAGTGATGTATTTGTCTACACCTACGATGGAAATATGGCGAAAGCAGTGCAAGGTCACAGGCGATTTGATGGGTTTAAGAAAACCATAAACCCAGACAGGTAAAACTTGCTTTTTCTTCTGGATATATATTATTATATATATATTTTTTTTAATATAGTTTTTTGGTGATCCTGTTCTAGGCCATTTCTTTTAAAAATCCTACAGTATATGAAATTCTTTAAGATTACCATGATAATGGACCTTAGTAATTAGTGTTTTGTTCTACTTTACTATTTGTAGATATTTCAATTTTTTTTTTTACTTTCTTAAGAATTTAGGATTATATATTAGTGCCTATATAAAAGACATTGATCTAATAAAATCTTGTTCTAGCCCCACTTTACTCATATAGTTAGAAAGCCTGTGCAGGATGAATTTGGTGAAGGCTATTGATGAATATGATGAAGAAAAGCTCACTTGGAAGAAGTTTAGTTCAAAAGTGCAAAAGATGCATAAAGACCGATTAGGAGGTCCATATTATAGGGAATCTGGGGAGTTTCCGAAATTGGAGGAAAGTTTCTACGCAAATCCACTTCCGGGATGTGTATGTGAATTGGCAAAGAAATAGTGATCTGACTAAGTGTTTGTTTGAGATAAGTAAGCACTCGGAGATGAAGAATTCGAAGATTGCTGGTGTCTGAACATCATTCTGGGGAAGTTGATTCCTGAGATTCTGAAACGCGGAAGACCCAACTTTGTGGATGTGGAACTCACTTGAACATGTTGCTGGGTACAACTCCTTCAGCTGGGTGCGGAATGAAAACTCGTGAGCTTGTGCTGATGGACGTAGGAAATTGTGGAGCAGTTCGGATTGATTATAGTCATTTCAAAGGGCTTTATGAAGAAGGGAAATATCAAAAATGATTTCCCTGTAATCAAGAATTTTGGGGTTTTTTGCCCCTCAGTGATGACATTTTTTTTTTCTTTCTCTTTTGTTTGATACGAAATATAGTGTAGGTACTTTATTAACACGAAGAAATAAAGTCTAAAGTAATTGTTTGTCACCCAGACTAATGGAATATGGTGACTATTCAAGCGAATGACAATGAGCCAATAAATTTGCTGCTTGATTTTATGTACACAATTAACTAGCCTTCTGGCCTGTGCAATGCTTATAGGTGTACAATGTAAATTTTTATTTTATAACTAAATATGAATAGTTTATATAGAAGAAAGGGGTGATAATTGAGTGTCGTAAAAGAGATTAAGTTAGAAGAAAGTGAATCAAACAACTTTCATACATATATTCAATTAAAACTAATCGGGAGAGGAGCTCTAACCATCAGAGCAATCTTTCACTCTCTTCCGAGTCTAATTTCCCATGTGATTGTTCTAAATTAACAACCCGTACATTGTTTGCTACTATGTATAAGTATCTAGTATATTTTCCGCAAAATATGTTGATATATGATACGGAGTATTTTTTCTCATTTGATATAAAACTAGCGTAAATTACGTTTCAGGAGCCAAGGTTGTAAAGAGGATTGATTATGATTATTCAAGTTTGTTTCAGGTTTTACTCCCTCCGTTTCATATTAGTTGCAACTTTAGGTTATTATTTGTGAGATATAAAATATTGCAAATTTGCAACTAATATAAAACGGATGTAGTATCCTAAAGTTTTCATTGTGGGCCCATAACCCACTATTACAAGTTGACTGATCGATTCTGCTGCATAATGTGTATTAAAGTTGTGGTTGATCAAGTGTTAAAGGTTATTGTACTTAATTAAAAACATGAAAATGTCGGACTGTTACACATGGTATTCTCATTACAATGACTAATTATACATTAGCATTTATCAAACCGTTTATCATCAACCATATGAAAAACACATTTTCTTATAATATATATTAATTAATGCTAAATATTTTGGGATATTGCTTGGGCCAAAAATTAGACGTATTATACTTAAAAAAAAAAAAACATATGGCCCAATTTTAACAAAGTAGAATATTGACCCAATTTTAGCAACGTAGAATATTGACCCAATTTTCATTAAAGATGTAAAATATTAATAATATAAAGAATTAAAAAAATAAAAAATCATGGTCAACATATATACGGAGTACTAAGACGAATTTAATTACATTTACTGATTTACATAATCACATTTGTTTACTTATAAGCAAATCTATAAGGTCAAAGTACTTTTTACAAAATATGTATCTTTTCTTTCTCTTTCTTTTTTTTGGGGTGTGAATGAAGCTACAAAAGCAATGTTAATTATAAATAACTCTCCGTAAATAAGAGTGAGGGACTTTAACTTGCGACTTATCGTATATTAAATATTATTACCTTTTTTTTTTTAGAGGAAATATATGACTTTATTTACTTACCTAACCCCCTTGGTTAATGCCAATTCACCCAAGTTTTAAAAGTTATTACCAAACACGTTAAGATCATTTTGTAAAAATTGTGCAATATTATCAAGTAAAAGTAATATTTTATAACTTGTGGAGTACAAAATTCCATGAATATTTAGCTTTTATATGAACCAAACAAACACTACGATATATGTTAAAGAAACAACTAATCACATCATCAATTAAACAAATGAGAATTTATCAATCATCACTTGACTAACTTCCTTACTCAACCTCTTCCCTTTTCCTTTGCTTATATTTTCAGAATTCCAGTTAACTTTTATTTTAGACTTCAATTCCACAAATAAAACACGTTTCTCTCCTCTCTCTTCTTTTATGTAAAAAAAAAAAAGGAAAAAAATTACCGAAAAAGAAAGGAAATTCATTGGAGGAGCAGCAAGTCAACTCATGCAAAGGTTGTTCTTTAGGAGCCGGTCAACGTGCCATCATCAACTACATTGAAATTTCTGCAAAAAAATTCAAGTATTTTTTAAAAAATAATTTATAGTATGCATTTTGTGAAACTTATTATTTGGATGAATTCGGTCTTTTCTTAATCAAAGAGCACGGTTCAATCTTCTTCGTCGATTACACTGGCAAGCTCTCTTTCCATCTCTAGTGTTTTCTTTATTCGTTCATGTCGTGTTGAATCAGATGTCAGCTAGATTAGTTGGTTATGTTATTGGATCAAAATTATGAGATTGAATAGTGTTTACAGTTTTACATGCCTTTGTTGACTTTCTTTGTGTCAAAAACATATGTTGTGTCGTTGAGACATTGATTGTTTTTGAATACGTTCATAGTGGTTTAGACAATGTTACACTTTTTTTAATTTTCATGTTTGCAATAGTTTGATCGTCTTAGTCTTTCATATAATATTAAGTGAGTATTCTATGTAATTCTCTAACATTCTTTTTATTAACGACAAATACACATTTAAAGAGTCAAGTAAGAAATTAGAGGGTGTAAGCTTATAATTAGTTTAAAATTATTTAGAAATTGATATGAATAGAACATACGTAATACAAAAGGAACCACGTCACATAATTTAAGTGGGTACGCATAGAAAGAAGATTTTGACACACTCACTATTAGAGCATTTTTTTTTTCTACTCTACTCATAAAGAAGAGGACACAAATAAATCACGAGAATGTCAAATCCATTTTTTGTTTGCATAATAGGGTTACTTTAGGTAAGATGATAATTTTCAAACAACTTTTTAAAATGAAAAGAAAAAAAAAATTTGCTAGAAGAGGATGGTGATTGGTGGATATATAAAGCAATTTTACTACCAAAAATTAATAAAAACTTTTTGATAGACTATTCCGCACCTTATTGGTCGTTTAGTTTTTTGGGGTAGAAAGCTGTTTGGTTGTAAGTAATAAGTTTTACTTTCCAAACAACTCCAATTTTTTTCCTTCTTAGGTGTTTTTAATTTTTGATTAGGGGATTTTTATCCACCAATCACCGTCTGACAAGTGGACCAACCAGGTTCCGCCACGTGTCCTTCACGTAGGTCAATAGGAGCCTGCCACGTGTCAATCACAGATACGTCCTCTACGGACCAATTGAGACACGCCACGTGTCCACCCATGCCAAATGGGAAAACCGGCCAACAAGGCCCAATCCTGTTTAGAGGCCCGGTCAGCCCTAGATTTACCCTAAACCTAGAGAGTGGCACGCTTCTCAAGACTATAAATACTTAATTAATCCTCATTAAGAGAGAAGAAGAAGAACAGAACAGGAACAGAAACATTACGGAACACACTAATAACCGGCTGATCTCGCTAACAAAGCAGATTACCAACATTAAACACTCTCACCTAGAGAGACCTTATTACTTTAATTTCCGCACTTATTACTCAATCAGGTACTAACTTGACCGTTGGAGGCGGAGCTCTCAGGAGTCTCCGTTATTTTGCAGGTACAGGCGTCCGGTTCCAGTCTCGGAATTGTAACTCTCCCGCAGGACATCAGAAAACCCCGAAACATTTGGCGCCGTCTGTGGGGAGAGTACTTCGGAGATGGCATCCAAGTCTGTACCGACTCCTGAAGAGAGGCGTCCCCTAGACGACCCTCAAGTTCAGTCGGACCATGACACCGAAAGTGAATTTGAAGTTGAAACTCATACAGCTCCAGACGGGACCCTAAGGGCCCGACGTACCCGTCATACCGAAAGGAGGGAACGGGAGCATCTTCAAACAGGAAGCGAGCCAGCAGGCGCACCGCCTGCTCGGCAACAGCCGACTGATGGGTCTGCTCCCATCACAAGGAACGAACTCATGACCTTCATGAGGGACTTCAAGGGAGAGATTCAAGAGTTGATCAACAAGAAGCCGCCTACTTCAGTCAAGGAGCAGTCGGCCAAGAAACCTTCCACTTCACTGAAGAGGAAGCCAGTTCAAGGGCGAGAGGCGACTCCTCATCCTAAATCTAGGAAGCGGGAGCCACCTGCCCTTGATTTCACAAAATTCCGTTATCCTACAGGAAATAGGAAACCGGTTCGTCATATTCAGGCGGACGGGTCAAAGCAAACATTCACAGATGCTCGGCTACTGCTAGAGCAGAAGAAGAGTGACCGATTGTCAGAGTCGGCTTCTACTTCAGACTTTCAAGACAGTTTGCGAAATGCCTCGATGAGGCATACTCAGTCGTACCATGAGAGTCAGTCAGGCGGCACCTCCCGTCAGTCCGGCTTTCATAGTGCCCAGGCGGTACCAAACTTACCATTTGTGCCGCAACAGTATTTTATGCAGCCACCTCCATTTGGTGGACCTGCAGCAAAAAACGTCCAACCTATGGACTGGCAGCTACGGTTGCTTAGACTTGGTGAACAGCCGTCGGCCTTCTCCAAGGAAATTACTGAAGCCGCTCAGCCGGCCAAAGTGAAAAATGTACTAGTAGGCGCCTATGACGGCACTACTAACCCAGAAGACCATCTGATGGCATTCACCAACCTGATGTACCTTCAAGGGTTGGATGATCCCACTTGGTGCAAGTGTTTCCCAGCGACACTCAAAGGAATCGCACAGCAATGGTTCGGCAACCTGCCGACTGGTTGTGTAAATAGCTTCAGGACGCTTGCTTACTTATTTGCCTCCAACTTCGCCATGAACATCCCTGCGAAGAAAACGACCCTTGATTTGGGAACAATTAAGCAGGGCGAGAAGGAGGGGCTTCGTTCTTACATCAGGCGGTTCAACCTGATGAGAATACAGATTCAAGGGTTACCGGATGAGGTAGCTTATACCGACTTTTTTAGAGGTCTCAAAGACGGGTCTACCTTCAAATTTGATTTGGTTCGAAAAAGGGTGGCGACTCTTCAAGAGGCCTTGATTGAAGCAGAAGCCTATATACAGGCGACTGATCTGTGTACGATAAAACAGTCGGACGGGAAAAGGTTCGACAAAAGAGAAGGACGACAGAAACAGTCGTCAAACAAAGATGAGAAAAGAAAAGAGGTCTGGGCGGCTGACTCCTCTAAACAGCCGGCCCAGAAAAAGAAAAAAGAATTCAAACCATACTCCCCAAAGTATGCGTTTAACAAGGATAACCAGTTTATCCTAAAAGAAATCAAGGGACGGATCTCAATTGAGAAGCCGGTCCCCATGAAGGGTTCTGCAAACAACCGGAACCAAGATAAAATCTGTGCTTATCATGATGACGTTGGTCATCACACCAATGAATGCATCAGTCTCATGCGGTACCTAGACCGCCTGGC